TGTGGTGTACCTACAAGCTAATTTACTTAAAGAGATCTATTTTGTTTATCTTACTCTAAAAAAACTACTGAAACTAGTAAATTAATTAGCGGTGTTTCGTGTTTGAATGAAAAAATAAGCTGAATGGAATTTTTCTGTGAGAGGTGATTATGACGACGGAGTGATTAGGTTAAGTTATAAGTAATTCTATTTCATCCTCTCCTCAGACATACGGTCTTAAATCGTAGCACTAAGTGATATTATAAACAAAACATAATCCGAAGATTATGTCGACGAAGAAGACGTCTCCAGTGAACCAACGGTACTGGGTTTAACGAAGATTAACCGAAATATCTTTTTCAAGATGCAAATCTTTTCTTTCTATTTTGTTTATTATTTTTGTTGAATTCTTGGCTGGCATATATAGTTTTTTTGACGATCTAAGTACCCTAAAGGTAATTCAATAGTGTACGTAATCAATTCCGGGTACTGGTCGCGCAATGGCGGACTAAAGGGACTAAAGCCTAGCGCACACTGGTGAACTTATATAACACGCATTCGTGTCACTCGTGACATAAGACACTTCCCGAAATTGTGCAATAAAAACCATCCTACGCAAATTTCCTACGCAATGAAAACCATTCCACTAACAATAGAATGATTGCACGCCTCGTTTCCAAGCTATTGTTTTGTGTGCACTCAATCTATTGTGTCTCAAGTTTCTATTGTAACTTACACATATTCCTAGTCTGCGGGAACCAGAATTGAGATATTTTGTCATTTGTGCTCATTTTACGACTCGAATAATATAATGGAATTTCCCTTTCCCTGCAGACTAGGAACCTGTGTATATAATATAGGTGGCAATTGTATAACGAGTGACACGTGTGCATGCCGTTTGCGCCAGGATTAAAGGTAAAAAGTTTAATGTGGGATTTTCGTTTGCCAATCAGTTGGTGCACGTTGTTGGGCGATGTTTTGCATTTTCTTTCTTTTGATGGAACCGATGTGCACACGGAAATTGGTCCTCTCCGGCGGTTTGTATTTCAAAAGAAAGCGATGGCCACATTTTACACTCCAGTGTTTTATGGTTGATTCAATTAGGCTGGTGTAAGGACGCTAAATGGATTAAAGAGAACATTCCTCAAAAACAAAAAGAAGTTAAAAAGAAATTGCATGCGTGTTGAAAATGTTTTCTTTCTATGGGGTGTATAAAAAAACCACCTAGCAACCCACTTAACATTCAAAATATCCACTTTGCGAATATACAATTAGAAGTTCTGTTGTACTATTGTGCTAATAACAATATGAATATTAAGTGTTTACCTTTTTTTGGAATTCTGACGTACCATTTTTTTTTGTATTTCTGACGTAAATGCATTAGCTTTCGGATGCCAATATAATCCTTAAATTGAGAGGACACCGAAATACGTTTGGGCTGTGGATTTTCTGTCAAGAAACGGGTGATAAGGTCATGAGATGATTTCAATGGCTCTCTTTGATCCCGTTCCTATCCAGACAATTCGTCTTTATTCTTTGCACTAAGAACATAAAATGAAACATAATCCAAGTGTTGAGACTTAAACAATGGGTTTAAAAGATTAACTCATATTTTAGGTTCCAAGCTGTAGTTGTCTATTGATTTCGTCTAAATTGTTATATCTGGTATTTCTTTACTGCGTATATACCAAATAATATTAAATTCTTAAATGATTATATATCGCCGATAAATACCTCAAAACACGTTTTGGTCCAAGGGGCGGTCTCTTCTATCCTAAATCCTATATATATATATAGCATAATAGCATATATGTTAAATATATATATATATATATTTAACAGTTATTCTGCGAACTCGAGTCGTATATGAGCTGTATATATATATAACTGTTTTATTATATACATATGCAAATTTTGTCGCTCTTTCGGTGCATTTTGGTGTGCTATTAATCATCAACTAAAGCTTGGATTTCTATTTCACTCAACTCCCCAAATCTTTCAGCCATTTTGTTTACTTTCTGTACTAGACAAATGAGCTAATATTTGTCTAGTAGCCAACCAATGAAATTGAAGAATACCTCATATCTGGCGCTTGTTTATATAATAAATATATATATTATGTATCAAAGAATCGTTTGAAACCAGCACAAGCAGGGTTTTTTGTTTTACTGCAGCTTGCAGGATTAGAATGCTAATGTTTACAGATTTTGTGGGGTTATTATGCATGCATGATGAATTCCATTCAATGCAGAAGCGTTTGGAAATCCTACAGGAAGCACCGAAGCAATAATCTATTGTTCTTAGGTTTCCTTGCGAAATTACAATGGGGGCATTCCTTATTGAACCTCGTAATATTTAGTACGACGCGCACAGTGCACATGTAAATATGTCTCTTGTGTTCAAAGTGTCATATCATGCATGCTCATTATTGAAGCGGGGTATAATGGTAGCTAGGTAAAAGAGCGAGCCGAGAATGCAATGATATGGTACAGAATGTATGGATAATTTCTGTCAACAAACGGGCGGAGAGGTCACATTATGAAAAATAGGATAAAATAGGACTTAAAAATCAGAAAATTGCCATTTTGGAAGCTGTTTTTTTCACGTTCTGTTCAAAGTTTAAGGGTCTAAAATAGCAACAAACCTCTGCTTTTATGTTTAATACTTTGGGAGGATAACTTAATTAAATGATAGCTGCAATCCGAAAACATTGAACATTCTGGAAGAATCCATACTATAGTAGCTATAAACAAGATTTAAACAAGAATACTTGCATTTTTAGCTTAAGAAGGATTACGGCATATTTTTACTCACTATGATAATCATCCGATTATATTTTGTTGCAATTTTTTTTTGTTTTTCAATTGTCAACTGGCATTGTTACTCAGTAATAAGAAAAAAAGGTTGATCCTATTGTGTGCCTAAGACGGAACTTATATCTTAATGGAAGTGAAATGACGTCATAACAAGCACCAGATTATAAAAAAACCTCTTGACTATAACACTGATTCAATTAAAAATTTTTCTCAAGTATTTCCCATACTAACAATTAATCAGTAGTGAATTACATATTAAAATTTATGTGATTGTTTAAGTTTACTTTATGTTGTACGTGTGGGCTTTAGGCAACCGAATTTATTAAGGGGCCATTCACAAAATACGTGACGCTATAAGGGAGTGGGGGGTGTTCGCTATAGTGTCACATGATAACACATAGGGGTGGGGGGTGTTTACTGCAGCGTCACGTGACGTTACAAATATCTGTAGACTCTCGACAATACATGGATATGCTTTAAAATTAAATTGACTACCACATGAAGTATTCCATTGGCAGGGGGCCTATTGCCCCCCTATATACTAAGTTTTGAGTAGCTACATCTAATATATCACTAAATATATTTTTTTCGCACCGTTGAGGTTGACTTCTCTTTTCTATTTCGCTACTTAAATAAATTGGGGGGGGAGTATTTGGCCAGGAGTCACGTAATTTTCATGGGGTATTTTGGAAAACGTCACACAGTGTCACATAGGGGTGAGGGGGTCTTAAAAAATGGCCAAAATAGCGTCACGTATTTTATGAATGGCCTCAAACACACATATTCTTTCCTTTAATTTTCGTCCAACTCAAAGTTAAACTACTAATGGAATAATAACATAATCTTGAAACTTATTTCAAAATCAAGGTCATTGTACGACATGTACTAGCGGAGTGCCATATATCCGTATTTTACATCATTTGCCTGCAATATTTTGATTTGCTCATTTGGAGTTATATGTAACGCCTTTCAAATTTCAATCTACTTGTAAATTGGCTGTTGATTTCCTGTGCTTACAGTTTTTAATCACCTAGAATTCATAGGCGTATGGGCGCAACTTCGTTTGGGGGGCAAAAAAAAATCGCGTGCCCGAATTATAACTTTTACCAGATTTGTAACAATAGACTTGGCAAAGCGGCGGATGTGCTTTCAAGAAAGTGTAATAAAAATGGCTAAATAGAATACACATGTGGTATATATTACAAAATTTGGTTTTAAAAATTTTAACTATGTATCTCTTATTCAGTTTGCCCGAACTTTTGGCTGAACTTTGCCCGAATTTCTTCATTCAATTTGCCCCCCGTGCCCCCCTGCAGTCTCGTACGCCTATGGAAATATTCATCTGAAAGGTTTAATTTCAAGTGACTCTAAAGATGGCGTAGAGAAATGTTTTAGGTTTTTTAAATTTTCGAAGTTTTTTTCAAAACCAGCGATGTGAAGAGGGGTGTTCAGAAAGTTCATCTTTGGTAAGCAAGGGAGCTCAGTTTTTAGACAGGGCAAATCAGGGACGCCGGAACATGATGAGGGGAGAGGGTGGCAAATTTTAGGGAAAGGGGGACTCCTGTCTGTACTCCTGTAGCGCTATAGTGGCGCATGATAAAGAACGTTTGCAAATTATCAACTGTTGAACGTCGTGTCATTGTTGTCACATTGTTTTCTCATTGGTGTCTTGAAGTTTCAGACGATTGTGCAATTCGTGATGCTCGTTTGTGGCAATTCTACTTAAGATATAAGAATACAGAATTTAGTTCTATATTGCTCGATTTTATCCATGTAATACTATGTTATCTCGTTAATTAGTTTTTTAGAATTTATTGATGTAATATTACTTTATCTTGTAAATTAGTATTGAAAATCCCTTTTGGGATATACTAATAAATCTTTGTATTGTATTGTATTGTATTGTATTGAATGAAAGGGCATCTTTGGCCCCCAGCCCCTGCTGGTAAAAAAAAAGGGGACGAGGGCAGCTGCCCCGCTGCAAATGTCTGAAATTACCCTTCAAAAGGGCCTCTTGCCCATCATTCCCTAAATCTGGGGGGTATGTCAAGTTCACCCCCACTCGAGAAAATTTCAAGGAAGTTTCGTATGCTTGCTATACTATGCTAAGGAATTTAGAAAAATTTTAATTGCAAAAATGGAAATTTTGTTTCTTAAAATGGAAGCGCTGCCTGTGATTGGAATTTGGAACAGTGAAATGGAACAGTGAATCAATGGTAGTATAAAAATGTAGCAATATTTTGCTGGTAAAAACTGTCGATGTAATAAAGAATTTAAAGAAAATCCGATGTTTTAAACCTGATTATGGTAAGATAAAAAGAATTACTTACTACAAATGATTAGATTGATGATAAACCTAATGGACGTGTCTGTTCTCAGCGATCAACAAACTCCAGTTTCTGCCATTTCGTCTGTACATTCTCACTATTATTTGACAAATCCTATGTTAAAAGGGGAAAATTTGGGGTTATTTTAATTCAGAAAATTCTGACGAAGTATACCAAAGTCCTTGGCTGGCATGTTTATTTAAATTACAAATATTTTCCTTGCAACCAATGCAATCACATGTATGCTTCCTATGTACCAGTGTGAGGGTGCATCCCATGTGTGCAGACCATAGCGATGGATACAGTTCTGCCAATGAAAAATTACAGACATTCTGTTAACTCATTGAATGGATGTTGAAGTGGGTGTTTATCCTGAAAAATTATGCCAAGACACCAAGAATTTCGCACTGCATATATTTCTCCACATACAGTATATACGCCACTAATGTCAGAAGCACATTGTTGCTATGCTTTTTAGCAATAAAAATGTCTACAGCAATGTCTATATTGCTACTTGCTACTTATTGCCAACTGATTTTTTATGTCAGGATGGCTGAAATTTGCTGAGCTGTTTTACTGCAATTCCCTAATGAAGCAATATTCATTATGATTCAAAGAAATATGACTATAAACCATCCTTTCCTGCATTGATAAACCCATCCTATGTTTCATCTGTGACCTGTTCAGAGTTGTTTCAGTTTCAGGCTGACAAACTGCCAAATAGATGGGTTCAAAATTCCCTCAATTTTGAATCCGATGGATGATAATCTTTGTTATTAAGCCAATACAGTATGATTGTGTTATATATTATGCATGGATGTGGCTATAATACAATGTCAAAATTGTCAAAACTGTAATAGATTGTCAAAATCATCCTAATAGGTCTACATGAGTATCACAGTGTGAAAATGCATTCAACATAACACAGGCACCACTTGGTTAGGATGATAAGCTTCAATAATGTAATTTCAATAGAGATTTGATATAAATGTGCACCATTTCCTTCTCATTATTTAAGGGAAAGAAAGGCAGAGCAAAGCCTAAGCAAAAGCAAACAGGAAAAAAGCGATCAAAAGGAAAGCAAAGCTGTGCAAGCAGGATTAGTGGTGTGAAGAAATTAAGAGAAGATAATGCAGGCAATAAATATGTTGGCAAGCTGGAAGATTATGAACCAATTCGTAAGAGAGATTCTGATGATGAACAAGAGGGGGAAAGTAGTGATATTGACGAAGGAGATCTGGACGTGTTTCACCATCCTCAAACTGACTTTAAGTTTTTAGCTTCCGTTGATTTGCAAGAGTAAGTTTAGACATAAACCTGTTTTGCAATCCTCAGACTGGCTTCAAAGTTTTTAGCTGCTGTTGATTTGCAAGAGTAACTTCAGACATAGACCAATACAAAAGTGTGTGAGACAGGACCATTTTAAATTCTTGATTTTAAGTTTCAAAATCCTCCAGGACCATTTTAAATTCTTGATTTTAAGTTTCAAAATCCTCCATGCAGTTTTACACAACTGAGTAATTGTTATCACAAATTGTGTGGTCCACATTTGGCCGTTAAAGCATGCTGTAGTTTCGATTGAAATGCTTGAATATATTTGACTGTCAGTCTGTCATAACAGTGGATAACTGGACACATTTAGCACTCTATAACAATCAGGAAGGAGTTCCACTACACAGTAGCGGTAGCCATTTGGATCCTAATCAATGGCATTTATGTACATAGGACATACATTTTTCCATGTTGAAGCTTCAAAGGCTGTCATACTTACAGTATTACTCTGTCGGATGCCTAAAATGCAGATGTATCGCTTTTGACTTTTCAGAAACTCAAAGTTGAATAAGAAGAAGAGGAAATTGTTGGAGAATGAAGAAGAAACATACGAAAAGAAACCTCGTCTTATGGCAAAAGCATGGAAATCAGAGGAATATGCTCGCCTGCCACTAAAGAATGAAACTGGTGTCATTCGGCAGAGTTATGACCATGTTGAAAATGGTGAGTAAGAGAAGGTCGGCGAGATGATGTTGTACGAAAAAATAGAAGGGAACACCTTATTATCTCAAAACGAAAGGGCACCGACGAAAATGCCGCTTTAAAAATGCCCACACACACCAGAGTCGATCCGTCAACGCGATGCTATTTTTTCAGTTTTCGAAAGCAACAAACGAAGTTATGATGTTCTTAATAATTACAGAATGGCCGGTATATTTTTCAGGCCGGTATATTTTTCGGACTTATCAGGTGCCGATAGCTCATAATATTTTCTTCCAGAGTTGAATTGATTTGCTCCTGTATGTTAAAAATTCGCGTGGGACCTTAACTTTCTGTAGTTCTAACTCATTTATATCCTTGCCGGTCGGAACATCCTATGGTGAACTAAAAAATGGCTAAAAAATGTCGTGCATAGCACCCCCACTAGGCTACTTTGCACGAGGTTTTGCAAGATTGATCTAGACATTTTGACAAGATTGATCTAGACGTTGCTAATTAAAAAAACTACTCAGTCGAATGACAGAAACAGCTTTGAGTTAAAATAGAATACAAAATTCTTGATTGCAAACTTCTTATTAAAACATTCATGGAATGCAGAACAATTTGTCGAGATCAGTAAGTTGCGACACACGCTTTAAGTAATTAAGTGCTGAAGACTGTTCTGCATTTTACAACGTACTGTATATTAGGACCAAACTTTACTATTTTACTCATCGCAATACACTGTTTGTGGTTTCTTATAGCTACCTGTGACAATTTATCTCCATCATATTTGATAAAAAGGTTTAGGCTACTGTCGAATTCTAGGCTGAAATTACTGTACGTGTTTATTTGCGGGTGCATGGATTCAGAATTATCATGAATTAACAGTTTTTTACGAATTTTTAGAGGAAACTCCAGACGCTCTGGGTTTTGTCGAAGGCTGTCCAAAACAGGAAGAAACTAAGGATTCCCAAAATGAAGATATGATTGCAGCAGAATTATCTGCGGTCGACTTACTTAAACTGCGACAAGAGAAGATAGAGGCAAAGAAAGCTTTAATTTCTGAACTTGTGTCTTCTGTCCTTGAAGATACACAAGCAAATGTAAGTTGGAATGTTGGATTACTGCAGATTTTATGTCTCACAAGCCACTATATCTCTGCTGCATAAAAATAAGGAATACTTTACTTCAATTTTGGGGATATCGAGGAAGGTGTTCCCTTCTTGTTAGTACACTAAAAAATTGATATTAACGTTTTGGGTAGATGTATGATAAACGTTTCTCCCTGATAGTGTTTCTCTTTTGTTTAATGAAATACTGTTTATTCTTTGTTCGATTGTTCCGAAAATATTAAACCGTAAGCTCTCAGCTCGCAATGCATAGATATGATACGTTATTGCTTAATTGTTGGGGATCGTTTCCCTTTGAATTCGTCTCTGTAAGCATACCTTAAGCATACCATGCAGGTACTTATTAATGCACTTGCTTTAAAGGCAGTGTTATGACTTCATGGGCCTAATGGGTTGTATAACCTTATAGCTTTTTAAAACAAACTTTCTTTTTCCGAACCTTATATTATTATGGAAAAATTCGAATTATAAACAACACTACTCTACACTGTATATATATATCTTTTTGGAACTATAGACCAAACATTCGCTTTAGTCTCTCCTCCAGCCCAAATTTTGTTGTACAAGTTAATATACCATAAATAACCCTTGATATCATTGTGTTCCAGATTGACAAGCTGGGTGAAATGAATAAATTATGCCAGGAAAAGGATTCGGATATTTCTCTCACAGTCAGAAAGTTGGCCATCGTTTCTCAACTGGAAGTTTTCAAGGATATTATTCCAGGGTATGTATAATGTATTTAGCCGAAGGAATCGCATGGTTAAGGCTGCGTTCACACAGTATGCCAGCTTCGCTCGTCACGACGTTGGCACTTCTTCGTTTGCCGTTATGAAGCAACCGTGATTAGCAAATGCTCATCAATTTGATAGAATTGGTCTCGGACATTAAAAATGATTATTAATTATTATTACTTATTGAGGTCTCAGGTCTTTTATTAACTTCAAAATTTGACCCGCTACCGTGTAAACGGGGCCTAACTGGAAGAGTTAGTGATCAGATTGACACGATACCGTATATGCAACGGATTAACCCATAAAATGCGCAAAGTAAATGCGAGCCCCGTACACTGAACTCTTTCAGCACTAGAACGATAACTGCCTATTGAAACGCTAGAATTATCGCGAGTAACTTTCGAATGGCATACACATAGACAGTTTACATTTTATCATTTTCTAACTAATTGTAGTTGTTTCTATATAGCAGAGTGTCTCTAAATAAGCTATTACGTCATAAATATCACATAATGTTATTGTCTAAATAACGAAGTATGGGCTCCAAACTGGCGACCAAGTTCCCTAAAAATTCATTAAATCCAAAATTCCCAAGCCTAAAACGATGGTTATTGCATGCTTGAAAATGGCGACCCGTTGGAAATTTAGTACACATGTAGCTACTCTATGTTTAGCATATGTCATTCCATTTTCAGATATCGTATTCGACCTTTGTCAGAATCAGAACAAAACGTAAAGGTTAGTGGTGTCAGCATGATTGGCCAACTTCCAGTGACCATTTTTGCTAATTTTTATACATAAGAATGCATGTTAAACCAAGTTTTCATTTTGAAAATCCTGGTTCACATGCATATGCGCGAAATGCGTGAGTGAATACGTTACTGTAGGTACAGTACTGTCGTCAAGTTAAATGCACGAAATATTTTCTCTTTGAACCCAATCACTAACCGTCACCCTTTCTTAACCACAAATCACAAACCGTATCATAACGATCTAACCATAAGTTGTACAAATAAGGACACTTAAACATTAGAACATTCATAACTTTTTGCTGGTTTCCATCTGTGAAAAGAAAAAAATTGTACCGAAACTCGCAGTACGCGAAAGTGTAAACGGGCCTGTTTTCTAGTATAATTAATACGGCAGCATTTTAAGCCACATTTGATGGCACGTTTTTCGAAGGAGATGCCACGCTGCTCCCTGCATGGTTATCTTAAAGAATTATGTCGGTAAATTTTCTAAAAAGAAATTCAAATGAAGCTCTCTCTGTTAAATTTGCAGCATGAATGCATGTTTTATACTGTACTAGAACGTCGTTTGCATTGTGTGAATATCAGTTTGAATTAATTTCTTTGCCGGGCAGGTTTCTAAAGACGTGAAAAAAGTACGACACTTTGAAGAAGGTTTGCTGCGTTGTTACCAACGATATTTGGAAATTTTGGAACAAACTATTAAAGGTACAAGTTAGGTGATGCATCCAAAACGGCTGACTCGATCTCCTAGCTGTTTCGGTTTAGCAAATTAGGCAACATCCTGGGTATAAATTACATGACTGTATAATTATATGCACAGGAGGTAGTTGTTCGAAAGGCGTTTAGCTTAAACGGCAGATAGTTCAAAGTGAAAAAAAACTATTTATTGAACAAATGAGCTGAAATATTTCAAATGTAAGCGTAGTTTAAATTTCAATAGAAGTACATGTATGTTCAGTCATTGACAAGGTTGTGAAAGTTTTTTTAAACAACCGGTCCCAGTTGGTAGGTAACCTACTGTACTAGCTAGCTTTAGCCATCTATTGTGTAAATTACTTGATCAACGAGCGCAATTTTTATAGCTATATATATAGCTATAAGATAGAATATATATCATGAATCGAGATGAAAATCGCATAATTCCCAGGCATCTGATACTACGGTTCTTGTGAAAAAAACTGAATTGAAATTCGATATTGATTGTTTCACAATCCAAACTGCTTTTTCGATTTTCGCCAAGATTTTTTAACAAACTCGTATTATCTCATTTTTCTTAATTCATATAGCAGAAAATATGTCATCTGTCTTCATCTCTATATCTTTATAAGAAATTGCACTGCAGTTACACACACAATATCGCGCTAACGTTAGGCAACCTTGTTAGTATAATTTATAGGCTAATGCGGCATGGTGAAAAATGGACTTATTACATTGACATCTACTTTTTTTCTACAACACTTAGAAAAGAAGAAGTACAGAGGATCTCGAAAGCATCTAGGAAAGGTTGGAGCTATTATATATGATTTTGCATGTGTAGCTTGGTATTATTTTTTGTTTTGAGTTTGTGACCGTCCAAGGGAATCCGCTACGGTCGAATTTTTGCAATTGAGAAGAAATTAAAATCAGGCGAAAGATTTCGTTCGATCGAAAAATTCCGCTTCCTGGAAAACCGTCTTAATTGAAATAACGCTAATATTGAATATTTAATGCTGGGCTACACTACAGTACAGGCATATATACCAAGTGACAATAGTACTTTAGTACTATTATATGCATGCATGTCTTAACCAAGCTAGGAGAATTAAGTTATGCAATTTTTATTGTTTCAGGGTCTACCAATGATAGCATTGCAATGTCTTTGTGATCTGCTGAAAAATGTTCCTCATTTCAACTTTCGTACAAACATCATGGCTGTTCTTGTTCCAAAGATGAACGACCAATCAACACATGATGAAGTGAGTTGAAGATATAGCTACGCTACATGTATATATATATAGGAATTGCTTTTAAAAATAATAAACATACCGTAAATGTATTCACGCAAATTATTATAAGCGCAGTAAAATATCCAGTTATTCAGGCTACGTTCATACGGAACCAAACAATTTTGGGATCGTGCTCGAATACGTTCTTTCTCCTCGTCACATAGAACCGGTCAATTTTTTTTCTATTTTTACCGCTTGAACACCTTATCCAGACATTCGTCCAGTACTGCATGTGCGGTCATGCATGGACGATCTATATATAGGTCTTACATACATACACATTGAATTTCGTGCTTAGCATTTTCTCAGAAAAACCAGAATGCTTTGCTAGAATTATGACCATGATTACAAGATGATATTTCCCTAAAATGCAAAACTATCTGGCCGTGGTATTTATAGATAAGATATAGATGTCGTAAAACATCGTAATGACCGCAGTCTATTTTGTGTAACCTAACCCTTTCTTTTCATTTTCAGATATCAAGTTTGTGCTGTGAAACAGTTCAGTCTATTTTCAAAACGGATTCTGTTGGTGAAATCTCGTTGGAAGTAATGTACAAAGATTCCATTTTTTTACCAAAACTGGTTATCCTAGAATGACTTCAATACGAGAAAGACTAAGAAAGTTTGCGTTTGATTTTCTTTAATTTTTTTTCTCGTTCCCTAAACAGATAGTACAGCTTATCAATAAACTGGTAAAAAACCAATCATTCAAAGTCAAACCTTGCGTAAGTTGCACTGTCTTGACAAATTATATGGCTTGATAGCTTGACATTTCACTAACTAACTATATCCATCGTCTATGACATCCATCGTCCCATTTTGATTGCTTGATGTTCGCTACCCCAGACAATCAGAATGGGACGTGTGCCATACATCCTTATACGTGGCTTTTCTCTTCGTATAGGTTTTAGAGACGTTCATCTCGCTTCGACTTCACGATGCGGAACTCGGTGGGAAGGGCAAGGAAAATGAGCAGAGGCCAAAGTCTGGTAACAAGATGGAGAAAATGAAGAAGAAAAAGATGTCAAAGAATGACAGAAAGGTGAGCTGTGAGTTTTCGAGGTCAGGCATGCATGAAATAGAGGACTCGTCTATAGATGTTACTTCGAAAGAGCAACATGCATGGTGTTTACTACATGACATTCTAAATATAGATGGTTTATTTTGTGACAGAGGCAAAAAGAATTAAAGAAAATTGAGCGAGAGTTACAGGAAGCAGAAGCCGTTGAAGGAAAGGAGAAGTCCAGAAGAATGGTATACAATTTAATAAATTATCATTCCTTATTTCTCAGTACGATTAACAGCATGTGGAAGGTCAAATAGTGAGCTCTTCTTATTCGAGTGGAAATTCCGTCTTGGAATCGTTGCGACGTGATTAAGATCTTCCACTCGATGAGTTTGAGTGTTAGTGAGCTTTTGCAATACAGGTGATAGACCCATGCAGTAGTTGTGTAAGATACTATAAAAATGATATCGAGAGATCTTAAAAGCTCTACATCATACCCTGCCATAACGTAGGGTATACTATATCATGCCAGACAACACCATTCATAACACACACAAATACTCCATCCCAGTCCAACTTGGTGGGATTTTACAATTTAATGTCTTTTCATTAGGTGCACTAATAAATAGACAAAAACCATAGTAATGCAAGGAGGAATTTCGTTCCTAACTACGTAATCGGCAAATTTGTTGACATTTTAAAAGCAAAGCCAATCAGAATTTTCACATTTTAATACTTCATGTAAAATGGCGAATCATTATTCGTTATTATACCTTTTTACCCGAGGTAGACTCAAGTGATGTAAACTTATACTTTCTTTTTACCCGAGGTAGACTCAAGTAATGTAAACTTATACTTTCTTTTTACCCGAGGTAGACTCAAGTAATGTAAACTTATACTTTCTGATTGGGTTACTGAAGAGGGAAATTCGTCGAAATTCACCATTCTTCTAATGATTAGGTTTAACTTTATATGATAAAGAAAATTAACCGCACTTGAGTCATACTGAAAACTAGATCACTTTAATATATTTTAACTGATATTTTATTGCAATTGGTAGCCCTTTTTGGCGATAACTACATACTTAATAATTTCCGCGTTTGTGATTTTTCAACTTTACAATGATTGCGTTGAAATTTCTTATCAGAAACAGTTTATTTCTTTTTTCTAGCAAACCGAGATCATCAAGCTTGTCTTCTCCATATACTTCCGAGTGTTGAAATCAGCTGACGTGAGTCCACTGCTCGCCCCAGTCTTAGCCGGTCTCTCCAAATTCACGCATCTTATTAATATTGACTTCTTCGGTGACCTTATGATCGTCCTGAAAAACCTCGTTACTTCAGAGGTACGTATACTGGACAATAATGATCGTTATTCAAGATTGTTTCTTCTTCGGAGATTCATGAAGCGTCAATAGACCTTTCTCATAGTGACGTCAATGGCGGAAAGTCTGATGTTACACGAAGTTTGATTGGCTGGTTATTTTCGCGAAGCGTTTGTCGTCATTATAAGAAAGATCAATTCTCTATTTCTTTGTCATACAATATAAGATAGATCACTTATCCTTAGGTAGAAATATGATTGGTAGAAATTTAGATTGCGTAAAGACGGTTTTTCCAGAAGAGGCTGATCGAATGAATTATGTTTTCAATGGTGACCGGTCAAGGAAATAAACCCGCTATAAGGTTTAGTTTTTCACAATATTGAAAAGCAAATTAGGCGAAAAATTTCATTCGATAGAAAAACTCAGCCCAGTGGAAAACCTCCGTAACATGTTTTCACATCGACAAAGTAAACGTGATGCGTAACAGTGTATACCGTTCAGTATACATACATGTGATGCAAATTTCATCGATTTTGACCTGTCTATAATATTTGTCTCTTTGGGTTTCACATGAAGTTTACCCATGTATTGTTTATCTATGGTTACTGTATTAAGAGCACGCTCACTTTTTTCAGATGACTTTGATGAAATATGAAATAGAAATTTTAACAATGCATTCACTTATTAAACGAAACTGTGTTAAAACAGGTCTATCTGGTTTCATTTGCACGCACGACTACATATGTATAGGATAATATTCGAAAGCTTTTTAGTACGGCTTTGGGTTGAAAATAAATTCCTACAATTACTGGGTCGTGTGGCTGCAGTTGTAATTAAAACATATACTTATGGTCATTTTTCTACCTGATCGTTTATAGGATATATCATCAAGGAACAAGCTGCATTGTATTTTGACTGCGTTCAAGATCCTCTCGGGGCAAGGCAAGTTTCTTTGCGTATCTTTTTATCCCCCTGAACCATGTCGCATAGTTCTTTACATATATACAGTGAAAACATTTAGCCTCACTGTCAAGCTTAATCTTGAACTGGGATTTTAGCAGGAATTGAACGTCCTAATGTTTTATCGCTATGTATGTATATATAGGAGAGGCATTGAACATTGATCCCCAAACATTTTACTGTCATCTATATTCAACTCTTCTGGACATCGATAAAGGTAAGTAATATCAGATTTAGATTTACTTTAAGTATCCAGGTGTGTACCGTGCGATCGATGTCGTTCCAATCGTGTAACAACTGCGTGATGTTACAAACAGTAAATAATCGATAAAACCAGTGCCAATTGGTATCGATAGGTATCGATTTTTAATAGTCAGACATTCAAACTGTATGCAAACTGATTAGGATAGTTTTGGTCCTGCTTTCCCTAAAAACCAGTCATGGGACACTTTATTCTGCCAAATACTGTTAAGATGTAAAAATCATCAGCTAATTTAGTTATGAATTTTCCTCCTCTGCGCATTTGATGCTGATGAGATTATCTATAGAGGTTTTCGTGCGTTTTAGCTGATTTATTTTTAGCTCGTTCTAGATAATAGTCACAGAGCCGCGCTATATTTTTCAATAAAAATTTTTGTCTCTTTGATTAGCGGGCGACATAAAGATAGCCCTTGACTGCCTGGACGTTATGGTGAACAAGAGAAGAAAACAGGTTGGATTCTCCCTAACACGATTCTTTAAATAAACATTAAGGCTCTGTTACGCACGTTGCAATTTTCTGCAACTTGTGTAAGAAACGTGCATGGGGTGTAAGCAACACAAAAGTTTCGTACTTGCAAATTTACATCTCTCAAAAGTAGAATTGCAAGTTGCATAAAAAATGCACCGTGTAACAGGGCCTTTAGTAGCGCACGTGACATTAAAGCTGCATGGGGAGCCCAGGGTGATATCTCGTTTTCAACTTTCATATTGATTCCCCTTGCGAAACTATTAATGGAGGCGCTGTGGTAACTGCCCCACACCCTCCCACTTGTAGACTTGTACTATATGTAGTTACAAGATACATATCAACAAAGCAATTTACATGTTGGAATTTAACATTTTGACAAATTTATTAAAGCATTCGCAGAACGTTGCCAAACATGGACACACCCAAAATGATATGGAGAAGCGTCCAAATTTAGTTCCATATGGATTCTTGTATGTGTCCATTTTCATTTGTATTTATTAAATGGTAATTTATAAAATGGTTTTCCTATTTCTTGCTTAGGTTTCGATACAGAGACTACTTTCATACATCAAACGGCTGTGCACAGTCTCTTTATATCAATCAACTTCAACATCTCTTGCTTTGTTGTCGTTTGCGAGATCATTTTTGCAGGTAAACGAAGTTCACTTTTCCGCTACTGTACCTTACACTGGAGACTCAAACACAAATCACCCGAATCTATCTAAACAATTTGAAACAACATCCCAAATTTTACAAAGTTTATTTACGAATATTGGAAAATGCAAACAATTTCACTCCTTTTTAAATTTTCAAATTGGTTATTTCGTAATTTTTCTCTTGCGTTTGTAAACATCGATTGACTGACGCTTTTCTTTAAGCGGCCAAAATAGTGAAACCAAGCATACACCTTGAATGACGTTCCTTGTAATTGTATAAAATGTAGTACCTGTATTTGCCTTGTAGAAATAGTTCTAACAAACGTCTTTGTTAACAAACAAAATTTCCTCTTTTTTATAATAGATGAATGCCAAGAGCGGGATAATTTTGGATAATGATTGTGCGGGAAGCGGCGTGTTTCGTCCTGAGATCAAAGATCCCGAGTACTCGAATGCTGACAGTACAACATTATGGGAACTCGCAGTTTTTCAGAAACATTACGAAACTGTTTTGAGAAACTATGCTTCCCATATATCCCTGGGAAACCCAAGTCATACGCCAGGAGGTTTATCGAATCAGCTTGCCCGGAAGTGAGTGTTTTTCATTTATTTTCTATAGCAATATAGGACTCTGGCAGTAGGACTAAATAATCGGAGTAATTTCGGAATATACGAGTTGGTATATTAACAGGCAGCACGGGTTGTGAAATTATCGTTTCCATATTTGATTCGGCTAAATTACGCCTTTATAAACTATATAAATTATTAAGTATAAACTATAACATTAACTGGATGTATAGCCATTATATTCTTTCCATGCATGGACTAAAGTTAGACTGAAGCATGGACTGAAGTTAGACTGTATATACATACAATTATCGCCACCAATATGTAAGAACTAGAAATACATGAATGTATCAGCACCCCCTCGCTATTTCAAACCAAGTACACAATTTCCTAAACTAACCTGACCTAAACTTACATTATGAATTGACACAAAACTCAAATCAGTCTTATTATATTTTACCGAGTATATTACTCAAAAACACCCCAGGCACTCCTGCGCGCTTGCCTTTTTTTAACTGACCTCTATACAATAACTGAATGCACCGTGATATATTTTACTATTAAAGCGCCTGGGTACGAGGCTGCATTTGTATATTAATATTATATCAATGTTTCCATCATTCGATACAAAAATAATCATAAAGCTAGTGTACATAAACATTGCCCGTTTTGCTGCATTATACCATGGCAGCAATTAAGTAATGGTTTAAAATCAAAGTTTTAAACGATTAAAACAGTAAAAAATCTTTAGAGACAAAGAGAAAACGTCAAATGTTATTTTATTACAGAATGCAGTTGACGGCTAAAAGTTTTAAACTTATATATAGTGTGTATTTTTTTGTCTATATCAAATTCAAATTACACTTTCAAAACACTTTTTGAAGTTAAAGCAAAGGTGTAATAGCCTTTCACAGGTTTATGCGTTTTAAGCTGAAAATTAAACAAATAAACGGCATACAAAGCTGAAAATTATACAAATACAGCTCATCCTTACTGCGAAACAAATACGAAATAAACAAAGTAAACACGTACCCTTTGAAAACACTTATAAGCTTGGAGATTATTAATTATTTCTCTTACACCGCTTTGTCTTGACTGTATCCATGTTCTACTTTGCTATCTGTCATGCTAAAAATTATTTTTCATTTTTCCCAAAATTCAATCATCGTTTTTTGAAGTTTTCCATGGTTTCACGACAACATATAATTTTTGTGGCTGTACCACGTTGAGTAAATCTATATTTGCAAGCTTTCATTTGCTAGATTTTATAAGGTTTGATCATGTACGAAGTGTGTTGGCACTATAGCCATGCAGGATGCCAAATGGCGTCAGTACCAGGACAAATTTTGCTAAAGACGGATTTCTGGTATAACTTTCTATATATATAATGTGTGGTTAAATTGATGAAGTCCTGGCCCGTCTGTTTTATTTTTATATTGTGTCATTTTCACTCGACATCACGGCCGTCACCAAAATGCGACGTATGTTTATAAAGTGGTGTATCTAGAAGCAAATATATTTAGGCAAATATAAATTTATTTGGCATGTATACAATTCTAGAAACATATACCTTTATTAGTCCAAGTATGCAAGATTACGAGAAATATACCGTTAATATAGTAGACCAAAAGGCTAAAAGTTGAAGAGAAAGTAATCTTTTAAAGTGATGTAAAATTGTGGTTTCTCAATGTCACTTTCTGAAACAATGTTATAGAATTTGCCTTTCTGATGTCATTTGTTAAGCTTTAGCATTATTGGACCATAAGTAGCCGCCAATAGTCAGGTTTTTGATGAAATAAGACTGCATCTGAACAAGAACTCTAACCAGTTCCCATTTGTCTTGATCGCGCGCTGTAGTGTGGTGTCATAAATATTGTGTATAATTACCTATACTCTATACATATAAATATAGGTTACCTATATATGTATGGTTGACCATGTATGATTGGACCTCCCGATAAAGTATTTCTTGTGTCTGCAGTGTTTCCAAAATAGTTTTCATTTCCATATTTCTGCAATTAGGAATCCGATGGAGCTTCTTGAAGAGTTTAGGGAAGACAAACAACTCGATGATTTACTGAATAATCCTCTGCGGATGAAAAAACAATCGAGCGTAAAGACAAGTAGAACTACTGAATTTCGGACTAAAGCAATTCAAGAAAATGTTGATACATGCCTGTCATGGTTGGAGAAACGGAAAAGGAAAAACGATTTCAGGGAAGTCGCAATAAATATTCCTTGATATTATATTAACTGATGTGGACAATGGGTCCATGTACAATATTATACAAGACATGTACAGTATTATACAAGATATCCTCAAAGAAGGTCCCCATGATTTCAAATTTGATATTTATTATTCTGAAACTGCACTTTTAAGCTCGGGTTTATATATTGACGAGACTAAATCTCCTGGTTCTTTAATTAAATGGGCTATATAAAGCATAATGAAACGTATATGAAGTATATTTTTCCACGGACCTTTAGAACCCAGGAGACCTTCGAACGCTGCATGTGACGTAGTTTGCAGATTAAGCATGGTACTGATTTGTCAACATGAAGGACACATTAGCTGACCAGAAACATGCTTGTATCTCTGCAATCTAAAAACAGCCTCTAGTCAGAGCGTTTTCTAGTCAAAACAGCACAATCAGGCGAATGGTGGCCATGTTTAAATGATTCAGCTCCAAGTGCGGAAAGAACACGTAGTATATAAATACCAAATTTTCTTAGAAAAAAATCACTTTTCCTCTAGAACAGGAATATAGAAACTCCTCAGATTCTCTGCAACGCCTAGGGCCGGTTGTATAAAACGCGATCTGAACTTGTGTAATTAAATCGTAGTTAATTAACTCAGAAATACACGTCTCTCATTGGTCAATTCTGTCACTAACGACAGGCACTACGTTTTTGTACAACCGGCCCCCCTGCATTTTGCAACATTTTAGTGCGTGCATCATGCATGGGCCGATATAACATGCGGCCCTCATTCACTTTTTAATTTATTTCGTATCATATTTTTTGTTGATATCATATTCATATGCTTATGTTTACGCCTCGTCATTTTTTAGCCGTTCCTTTTTGCAAAAGGCGCTCTTTATTAAAACACCAGTGATATGCGCATTTTAACAGAACAAACTTACAGCTATATATATAGATATATATTATTTTAAATATTTCTATAAGCATGTATTTATATTATTTATATAATATAAAAAATAAATCGTTTACTTTTATCATTGAAGATGGTATAATAAACGGCCTATAAAATAGACTCTCAGACCGTAAACTAACTATATCCTCACGATGACCTTATGCATTTTCCCCGCGGTTCCTTACTGTAAATCCCAGGACTTGAAAATCCCAAACCGATTCTTGGAAAGATTTAAAAGAGTCATTTCGTGCAGAAATTATGCATATAAGGAGTTTGAATGTTGAAAGTTTGCTCAAGAACCGGTTGTTCAAAACCGCATCAATACAGGAAAATCCTGCCTCGTTTGTAGATAATCAAATTATAGCATTTGTCAGAACAAATAAAATATTATAGCTCATGCAACTGTAAATTACACTCAGAAACTCGATTTGTACCACGTCACCGGCGGCAATTAACCGTGGAGTTCCATCTAGTTTTTTGTCACATGATATAGTATATAAAACTCAAATACTTCGTTGCGGCAGGTATTATATATAGATGAGTATCTCGCTAGGAAATCGAGCTTTTTCGTGGGCCACGCGCGGATGTCTCGCGCACGAGTAGATCGAGGCTGTCAACAATTTTCGAAATTGAGGGAAAAGAAATTATAGTCGTGGTTTTGGTACTATTTTTGTAATCTATAAACCTTTCGCTCGGGAAATTCGATGAAAAATTATCACCTCTGCAAAAAAACTTTTCCTTCACGAGAATTTAACACTGGGTTGAATATTTTACCCTGCGTTAGCTTTCACAGGCTTTTGCCAACCCACGGTTAACTATATCGCTCAAAGCTTAATTGCAAGAGTTTTTAATTAATAACAAAAGTTACCAGCTTTCCACCAGCTCAATGTGTGAGTGGCGTTTGTCATATTACTAGTGCCGTTGTGTGCATATAGTCGTATCGCAGTATGACTTCTCTTTGAAAGAATGTCCGTGTTTGTCCAGGCGTGAAATCGTTTTCTCCTGCATAAGATTTTGAAGCGAAGTATATGAATTATTTTGTTCAATAAAGATATATCGGGGGAGATTTTATCAAGGTTATTCTTTAACATGAAAAGATTTGTGCCTGGTTTTTTAGCTTTCGTTCTAACGAGTAAGTATGAATTTAGCGGGTTCTGAAATGGTGTTTTAATTATATAATGTATTACCTAGGCGAATACTATTTGAAGTGTAGTCGTAGTATATAGACAATGTTATTCATTTGTTAGTTTCATACTTATTTTTATATTAGTTCAGCGCTATGCGAGTATTCAAATTTTCACCGAACCGATGCCTTTAACTTCATCAGAATTTTCGCTTCATTTGAAGTTGATTTGTTTAACACATCATTGTTTTGTTTTTCAAATTGCAGAAATGTAAATATTTTGATCATGGAAAGCAACATTCAATCAGTTTTAATGAGTTGAATCATATAACATCCATGCAGTGATCTAGTGTGATTGTACTGATTTTAAAATTAATTTTAAATATAAACATTGTTTATGTGGAGCACCTCAATCGATTTCTGCTATTGAACTACATGTAGATAACTGGTTGGTCAAATGATATCGAATGATTAGAATATTTTGATCATATCACTCGTACGCTTAGATATAGGGTCCATCATAAAGTTTTTATTATTTTATCTTGTGCCAAACTTCCACATACTGACATACATAAGCCTCTCGCTCCTTAACATGTTTGGATTTCTGTCAAAATTTCTTATGATATAAAAAATTACTATTCGATCTTTTTGAAAATTTCGTCTCAAAAATCTCAAATTCACGTAAGACAAGGCCGTAGGGGGAATTTTTCTGTCCTGTTTGCGAAACTGGGAGATCGCGATGGCTGAGCGTATACAAAGCATGCAGACGATTGTGCTGTCGTTTGCTGCTTATCTATAGCAAATATATTTAAAGGCATTACACTAATATATTGTTCAATTTGCTTTTTTGCCAAAGCAGTTCTTTATATTGAAATGGCTCATCTTCCCTCTTTTCTTTGCCCCTGCAGGGGTAACGCTTTTGCCGATCCCTTTCCTTGTTGCGACGTCCATGTCATATATCTTATTATATAATATAACATTTATAGTACGCGCGTGCTGATTGGTCGAGAAGCGTGTTTCTATTTAACAATTAGACAACGAGTCCGAGTTGTCTATTCGCTCATAGACAACGAAGGCGAGTTGTCTAATTGTTTTAGTATACACCCTGTACCTAGATATATTAATTTCGAGAAAATAATCGATACACCGCAATTACACCGAAAAATAATTTAATGAATTCAATTTTATGCGGTCGGGCGAACGAATTTTTCCCAAACGTTCACCATCACGAATAGACAATGGTTGAGTAGCCAATCAGAATGTAGGATTTATAATAGACAATAGTCGGGTGTATACTAAAACTGTATAGAAACACGGGAATTTTCCCGCCGAACTTGACAAGCGAAGTAATGTAATGAGAATTTGTAATTGAATCGAATTATAATATTTGTATAAAATCTTTTTGGAGGTATATTATGAAAGAAATATAAAACACTTTTTGCTGTGTTTCTATGCAGTTAAAGGAGCACTTGTAGGAGTTTGAGAGAACTCGAAATAATGCGGAAAAACTCGCCCTATACGGGCTCTAGTAGACGAACTATCTTTTCCTTGCCCAAGTTCGTCTAGACGAATGATCCGTCTCTATCTTAAATCAGGCCAATCGGACACTCTTGCATGTGACCGATGCACAATATATACGTTAGACAACTTTTCACAAATCTATTTGATATTTAGCCACGTGTGTGCTTGGTTGTGGTGAAGAGTCAAATAGAGTGTACAATGTACGTCGAAGGAGAGATAGGCTTTCTGAGAACGTTGTCATTGGTATGGATTATTTTGGTAAACCAAAGATCGTCTGTCACTGTGACGAAGCTGGATTACAGAGGCTTACTGCGAAGACCTTGTAAGTTTTCTTTGTATGTATTTTATATGAAATATAAATGTATAGGTTTATATGTAGAACAAAAAGCTTTAGCTTTCATCGTACAGAAACCTATATACAATGTATAATACATGTTTATTGAAGCACTTGCTAAAATATGAATATAGCTAGCAGCCATTTCCGAAACTTCAGTCTTTTTACTGAAATCCCTCGTCTGAGCGAAACGAAATAAATATTAAAATACACATTAAAATATATAACGTAAAATAATGTTATTTCATTTGTCATGCATTTTAATTTGTTGGCGGCTATATATATTGATCGTAGATGTACTTTTAGGCTACGTTCACTCTGGACCGCGTACGGAAATGGATAAAAATTTGACACGTTCTACGTGTTCCAAGTCCATTTATGTTTTTTTGTACGCTGAACTATCTCCTAATGCGATGTAATCTCTTCTGGAAACTGAAAAGCCAATACTTTTATGTTATGTTTTGCATGTTATGTTGCACGATGCGATATAGAAGTAGAAAACGTACTTTTCTGAAGTTCCGTCCACACGTATTCGGCGTTTTTGCCCACTGAATATGGATAAATTTGAAAACGCTCTCCAGAGTTGATAAATTCGGAAACGAAATTCGAAATCATGCAGATTATCTTAAGAAGCACACAAAAATATAATTCGGCTTCTCTCTTTGCCGACTTCAAAACAAGTCATCTTAAAACGCATCAACCGAAGACGTCAGGCAAAACCTCGACGTTTTTGGATTAGACCTGGGCGAACAAGTGCTTAGTGGGCGAATTTTTTAAACCAAATAGTTATTCCAGAGGAGTGGAAGGAGAAGTTTAGAATGAGTCGGGCCTCGGGGTACGTAAAAGATTGCGGGCACATGTTTCGCACTAAAGAGCATGCCCAGTAAGCGATGTTAGCGTTTTCAAATAGTTTTCAAATCGTTTTCACGTTTTCGTATGGACGCCAAAAACGGTTCAGAAACGACAACGTGTGGACGCAGATTTTTTTTAAAACGGATAAATTTATCCGTATACGTGTGGACAGGGTTATATTTAGGCGTCTACTCCTAAAAAGGTCGGGAAGGTCACAAACTCTACTAACAATTACGAAGGTGCGAGATTTCCCGAGTCTTTCATATTTACATTTATCTTACCCAGCAAACGTGGCCATGTCGTAAAAGTGAAACCCGAGTCTTTAAAGAGGGGGATAGTACAAAAGAAAGAACCTGGGCGTGAAGATCAAGATTCGCAAAGGGATCTGATATATTCGCCGACCTGCTGCAAGATTGACTTGACCAATCCTAAAAAACGTACGTTTTCCTACCTTTTCTTCGCATACAACTTTTGTTTTCTTTCTTCTCCGACGGCAATTTGCAACTTCGCTCTTTTTTGGCCACGGGCCATTCCAAGGCTCTTTTTAGCCACGGGCCATTCCAGTAGTTTCTCAAGTTGGTTTCCAGAAAGAATATTTGCTGAACTCTGTTAATTAACCGTAAATTTTTAGCAAACGACATCTTTCTTTATCCTCACATATTCCTTCCAGGCATGCAAACCCAGCTTTCATAAACAATGGGGGATTTCCTTTTAGACGAATCAGCAAGTTTGTTTACATTTTCAGTAACCCAATCAAAATGCATAAATGTTTACCTCTTCCGGTAAAAAGGTACATTATTTACCATTTTACATGAAGTATTAAAAAGGTAGGCATTGTGATTGGCTTTGCCAGAAAAATGTAAACAATCATGCCGATTGGTCTAAAGCGAAATTCCTTTTTGTTACTTTCATGCCTGTTTTTTTATTTCCATCTCTTCTAGGCGGGTATTTCTTTATTAAAACATAAATAAATTTTAAGGAAATTCTTTTATTTCAGTTTACAGCTATCCATTCACAATACGGCTGCCTGATCAAACGTTCACACCCGAGTTCAACGACCCAAAAAGTCAACAGTACCAAGGGCTGAAGAATCAGTTGATCTCGGGGGTATGTTAACAAAGCGTTTGTGCTTGCCTCTATCACGAGACTCGCTCATCTGATATCCGATAATTATCTGCTATTAATAAACAATCTTCGTGCATTGGCCTAATCATTGGCCTGACAGATCATGGGAATTATAATTTATTCGCAATAACGCGTGAAATCGTGGTTTATTCAAAAATGACAGCCTGCAACGAAGCTTGGATCTTCAATGCAGCAATCAATGAACTGAACTGGGTTACTGAAAATGTAAACAAACTTGTTGATTGGTCTAAAACGAAATCCCCCTTGTTGCATTGCTTTGCATTGTTTTATATCTCTTCTTTTTATAGTTCCGCTTTTATTATGTTTACTCACGAGTATTTTTGAATCATTCATTTTAGTTAACAACACTGCTTGCCAACGAAGGATGCGTGGTGTCAATAGATCTCACTAAATTTAGGTCAGTTGAGGTTAATGCATGAATAAATGACGAACGAATAAATACATTGGAATAAATGACGACGTTACGAGGTACCTCCCACATGTCTCGCGATCTCACAAGCGTTAGCGCTTCCCATTGTAAAAATTTCAGCTGAAATTACGAAATTTCCGAAAATAGAAATCACCCATTATGACATTTCACTACATTATTTCTACTTCTAAGTGGGTGTTTGAACTCACCGAAAGTAAACTTTAATTTTCATCTCATGCAATTTTGAGAATGTGCAAAAGATTTGCGTAATGTAGAATTTATATATTTTTCTTATCCACAAATAAAAGCTTTAAAATGTGACATTATGCAACAAGGACCTTTTTGGTTTTGAAAAATTTGACTTCGCATCAAAACGTTATGCATTACTATAGTGAAACTCTTACGGTTAGCCGTTCACGCAGTACTCTGAGGTTCAAACTCTTACGTTACCATTCTGTTTCAAACTTTTTGCAGTATCGACCGCATTTCTCAAGCCGGTATTGGCTGAACGCACTCCCTGAGCATTAGAGTATCGGCATCGTTTCAGTGGGGTTTCAGCCTCTCAGTCGACTGTATAGAAGAATGTTGACTTTAGACGTAGGAAATACCAGTGAACTCAAATAAGACTGGAATGCTCACTCTCTGACTTTCCCTCATTAATGAGTGAAGCCAAGATGGCGGCGTATCATTAAGTCTTTCTTGTAGGTATAATCCAGGCCTCTGGCGCGGAAATTTCAAAGGAAAAATAAAAATTGCCGCCATTTTACCTACGAAATTTTTGCATGGAGGCATGGATCATACCTACAAGAAAGGTTTCAGTGTCCGCCATCTTGGCTTCAGACTTCCGACAGAATGAGCGTTCCAGTCTTATTTGAGTTCACTGGGAAATACTTGCTCGTGTTTAATAAAACAAGTTTTGAGGTTTGCTGTTTCTTCATAGAAAAGGCAGTGTATTGGCAGACGTCTCGCTCTCTGTTCAAGGATTGATATCTCAAAGTATTATTGACACGTTGAAATCCGCCATTGAATCTGGAAACATTGGTGGTCTCAGAGTCGAGATAGTTCCAGGTAACACGGGTGAAATAGAAAATCGTTGTTATTCTAAATTAAATTCGCAATATGATTTTTTGTCTTTCGATGCGGAAGAACATTTGAAACAGTAGACTCGTATTGACGTATTTATCAAAAACGAATTTGTTATATAGAGTTACCACCAGAAGAGGCCCCAGCAACAACCACTCCGAAACCTAATAAACAAGCATCTTCTGCTACACAAGCACCAACACAAACTACACAAGCGCAGGATGCACAAAAGACCCCATTACCTGCTGCGAAACAAGCCCCTGCTGCTACACAAGCGCCTGCTGCCACACAAGCGCCTGCTGCCACACAAGCGCCTGCTGCCACACAAGCCCCTGCTGCCACACAAGCGCCTGCTGCCACACAAGCCCTGCTGCCACACAAGCGCCTGCTGCCACACAAGCGCCTGCTGCCACACAAGCGCCTGCTGCCACACAAGCGCCTGCTGCTACACAAGCGCCTGCTGCCACACAAGCGCCTGCTGCCACACAAGCGCCTGCTGCCACACAAGCGCCTGCTGCCACACAAGCGCCTGCTGCCACACAAGCGCCTGCAGCTACACAAGCGCCTGCTGCTACACAAGCGCCTGCTGCTACACAAGCACCATCTGCGACAAAAGCACCATCTGCGACAAAAGCACCTGCTGGGGCGACATCTGCTCCGTCGACTACCATAGTAGCAACTGTTGCACCAGCTGTTGGCGCCACCACGTCCAAACCAGGCACCAAACCATCTACAACATCCGCAACATCCAACGGTACCACAGCAAACAACAATACAGCATCCAATGTTAGCACTACCCCTGCACCAGCCACTACAACCCCTGCCCCGGTTATGACACCAGAAAATCCGGTCGACTCCCGACCCACGATACCTTACACCACGAACACACCAGGTATGACAGATAGAGAGCGTATGTAGCTAAATGAATCGCGTTTCTTATACCAATGTCGAAGTGTCCTTTTAATTTATTACATCGTTTCAAATTAAGAATTGAGCATGCAAAATTTCGAAAAAAGAAAACACTAAGTTTTCGTGTTCGTTACCATACGAAAATTTTTAAACGTTTTACGTTGTCCAGTGAAAACTCACCACCCACGCAGAAGAAATGAAGACAGAAGCATTTTTTTTCTTTTTCTTCAGGTAAAGAATTCAAGGTCGCTATAATTCTGACCGAGAAGTCATTTGACGCAAACCTAAACATACCTTCAAGTTTGCAGTTCTTGGACTTGAAGAAGATGATCGAACAGTCGGTAAACATATCATTATCTATCTGCCAATTATGGCCGTTAATCATGTATCTGACAACCCCGCGTTATTACGAACCACAGTGGTCTTGAAAATAGAAAAGACCAAAAATTAGTTAACCTTTCTCAGTTTAAAGCATAGACAATGCGAGATTTGGTGTAGAAGTCGGCTAAGGGACAGATCAAGCATGTTATCCCATTTGTCGGGATGAAGTTCTATCTAGATTTCAGCTTAATTTTGATCTAAGCCAGAGCATATTACGAAAGGAATTTGTGATCTCAGAAAATGATTCTGTTCACCAGATTTAGTGCTTTAATTTTGCACGATTTTCACTATTAGATTCAGTTCAATGTTTAGACTGAAGGCTCACAAATTATTCGACTTCAAGAATGATTGGGCATGTTTAGCTGTTGCAGTTAAGGGAACCTATATTGGAACTTGTTACTATCCGAAATATAAACCTTACGATTACACAAACCTTTCTGCCGCTGAGGAATGCAACGTGAATGTTATTTTGTCTGATTTGTCATCATTTTGTTACCTTAATTCTACAGTCTCCGTTTTATTCCACTTTTTAGTTGACAGAAATTTTCCGAAGTAATCCTGAATTTATATCCGTTACTGTTTTGAGCTTCAGGTTGGTAGCAATCGTTTGACAATGTACCTTGTAGTATTTGGTCTTGCATGCCACAATATGGTTAGTATGGTTTTGCATGCCTTCATTTTTCTAAGCTATGCATTGTCCATGTGATTCTAGTAATTCGACAGTTCTAATTCCTCGTCAAATTAATATGCCTAAATTAAAAAACAGGTTCTCACACACATTGCCTTTTCAGTTTAATCCTTTGAGTATAAAATAAACGTCTATTATACCTGGCCATTATTTCCATGCAATTTGCACCATCAAATTACTACAATATGTTAGTTGTAGCTAAATTTAATTGGAAACGATTCAGTTTTTCTTATACACCTTTTTTATAGTGCACTATAGTGCTGGATCCACCACTGAAAATATTTATATAAAATTGAGGTTATACCAAATTATTATTCATTTAAAGGTGCGATACAATCCGTAATGAAAACAAACGCTTTGTTTACATTTAAATCCGCATATTTCCTAAAATATCAAGAACTTTTAGAATATTTGACTGCTTTTACCGCTTTTAGTTCGCTAAAACACTTTTCAAGTTATATATGAAGGATAGTCAAGTTTGTCGTTATCAAACAACAAACATGGGATTGGTAACTCTTTCATTCAAAAATAGTTAATTGATTCATGTGGTACAAGCAGGGGCCGGTTGTATAAAAAGGTAGTTAACTTTTAACTGTGGTTAGTGGCAGAATTGACCAATCAGAATAATGTATTCTCTAGTTAACTACGATTTAACTACTTAAAATGTAGTTAAGAGTTTTATACAAGCCGCCCCAGGGTGACAACTTTTGATGACAGTTTCAGACAGACTTTTGATCACAATATATATTTGTTTATCTCACAGACCAGCGGTGTACAAACCACCAAAGACCGAATTCCAAGCAGGATCAGCAGCACCGGCAACTCGCCGTTCCAGTGTACCTTTAATGGGAGTGGAAGTGACGCTAGATTTTAAGTTTCGGGTCTCGCGTCCAGGCCTCCTGGTCCCGCTGGAAACACAGCTGAAAGTAGGCACAATCGCCAGCCATGCAGTGTCTCCCGACATGGCGACAGGTCTGTCATGTTTTTACTTGTCATAATTCATATGCTGACTGAATTGTTTCCATTCAGTGAGCGATATTCCTGCACTCTTGACAGGACGATTTATATCACACTTTTCCTTCGGAAATAACGAGAAAGCGCACTCAACGAGACAATATTTTCCGAAACATTTTAATTGGGGTTAAAACTGATCTCATGAAACTCCTAATAAATAGCGATCCGAAATAGTGGTTGTACGACCTTCAAATCAAGGCTGTCCCGCGCATGCCGGGATTTTTTGGGACTTTTCAATAGAATATTTATACTTTTTTATGGTAAAAGGAAAGATGTTCCTTAGATTTCAACACCGAAGGATTGTTAATTAACCAGGTCAACTTTTCTTTATATCATTTTTGGACCGCAGCGAGAGGTTTTCATGTCCTACCGACTTACTGTATTTTTGTTTACCGTTTATTTTTAGTCATTATAAAAGATGAACAGCAATGTCCTTCAACATGTCGGCAACCGACTGTCTGCGCCCCATCGTGCTCAATACGATGCTGCTCGGCTCCTCAAACGCCACCCTGTCCCAGTCCTTGCTCTAGCGGATGCGCTCCTAGCTGTACCACATCGTGCTGTGCTTTGACGAAGCGAAGTATCCTCGCTCTCAAAAACTGAGTCGATATTAAACATACATTTCGTAGCCTACGTTAATTTGATATTAAAAATTTGGTTATGGTAATTTTTTAGTGAAAAGTCGTAGTTTATAGCATACGTTAATTGTCTTTCGTTTATCAAACCTCGTGTATTGATGCTATGCCATGAATTGAAAATTAGTATTCAAACTTTCGAGCGCTATTCATTGTAGTTAAATTCTAGTTGAAGCCGGGCTGTCCGGAAATTTTATGGAGGGTGACGGCGGGTGTTTTTTGACAAGTTTTCCTCTTCTTTCTTCCCACTATATATAAATTGGTTTTCGAATGTTTTGAGAGTGCAAGTCGCCTGCAAAGAAACACAGTCTCACAGTTCGGGAGACCCTGCATGGCCGCCCTGGTCTCGTGTCCATATACTTGCAGGGATGTTATCCAGCTTTTAGTAAGTCCACGGTTAAAGACTCTTCAACTTTGAGAAAAACAAATCTATTTCATGTAATGTATAATGGATTTGCAGTCGTCGTAGTCATCGTATACAAATATATTAAAATGACCAGGGCTGTCTAAAGGGAGGGGCAAAAGGGAAAACATTCTCCTGAACTCAGGGTTTACGGAGGCCCCCAAAATACTCCAGGAATTGAGGTAAACTATTGTTGGAAATATATATAGTCCTCTTTCCAGAAAATTTTGGGACAGTTCATACAATGCATGCATGCTATATATATATTTTATTAATTACTATATAAACCAGAGAGGTGCTGAAATCACCTAACGCTCGCCTGCACTGTTTGTCTAGAATAAGGCTAAACTCTGTATGAAAGGTATCTGTATGAAGCACAAATTACCGATCTTTTTATTACAAATTACAAGGCTAAAATCCGCGTTGGAAGGTAATATTAAGCACAAACTTCAGATATTAGTTGTGACCTCAGAATTACTGGCCAAAACTGGCCTCGGAATTACATTAGTTTTATTTGTGACCAATATTTCTTCCGTTTCTCGCAATCCGCGCACGTGATATCAACAGGTAAGTTAACGGACCAGGCAAAAGTCCCTGCTTTAAGCCGGGCGCACACACAACGATTTTACGGTAGTTGGTCCATTCAGGTTGAGACATATAGGCAGCCCTTGCCCAGACATGTTTTCCTTCTCGCGGCGCTCGCGCCTCGCGCGTGTACGCGAGTCTACTTGGTCTAATATAATATTATGACCAAGTATAGATCGCCAGTCGCCACATTTTGATAAAAACATCCATCCAGACAATCTAGACAGGAATCGGCCAACTAAAATCGTCGTGTGTGCGCCTAGCTTTATGAAATAAACTAGGTTACCTGCAAGGTAGAGATTGCTGCGAGCATTTTAGGGTCCAAGTGAATTGTTATATGAAATGTTAGTAAACTAAATCCGTTTTAACTAATAGCAATAGCAGGTTTAAAAAACGCAAAGTGAACCTCTATTGAGCGTTAACTCAATAACTCGCTGGGGCTGTACATGAATTAATAACACCTATTAGTGAGAACACTGTCAATGACGTCAATATTTAGGTCAATATATTCTATATCATGCTGTCTTGCGAGTTGCAGCTCGTTTAATCAAAGTCTTTAGAAGCAGCTAGTTTTAAAAATATTTTAACATACGAATCACAACAGGAGTATTAACACTAATAGTAATATTAGGTAGAATTTTGCGCGCGTGGCGACATTTTCCCCGCAACAAAGCGAAAATACAGGCCCAGTAGCACATGTTTAACAAAATAGAACATTTTTTGGTAACATGGATATTTGTTTTTTAAATATGCTATTTGTCTTTGTTGTGTCCATGTAAATGTTTGGCTTCATGTGAAGAGTAGCAAAACATCACTTGATACTTTGAACTTTGAACGCGCTCGAGAAGACGTGTAATCAGAAACCACGTGAAGATCCGGTAAAATGACTAGTATAAAATAACAAAAACATTTAGCTCATTGTAAAATAGGAATAAAAACATATGCCTATGCTTACAATAACCTAATTTTAAATAAGTCAAACATTTCACGAATCTGAGTGATTCAGTCAGGCAATTTAGACGATCAATTCAATTGCATATTTTATCTGCGACTGTGTCATGTTATTAAACACGACTCGCAAGCGTCAAGCCGCATACTTAAAACATCATTTGATGCAAAATATGGAAATCAGCAAAAGAATACAAATGTCAATGGATAAAAAAGACTTTAAAGCATTTGTATGTAAGACTTGATTTGCTTCACAGCACTGACAGCTCAACTGCTAAAGTAAAGCGAATTAGCAAATTGGATAGTACATCTTAATATTCTAGAATGATTTATATAGTTCGTATATATACAGCATGAATCTAGCTGTGATCGATTGTATGCTTTTAGCGTTTCATAAATATACCAGTTAGAATTGTAAACAACTGTAAACGTAACATATGAACGAAAGATGAAAATATCTTACCTTGAATAGTCAAAATAGAACAGACGCTTTGAAATTTAACAAAAATTTGAAGATCCTGTATATGAGCGAGTTTAAAATGTGTGTTCTACGCATAAAAAACGCGCACGACCACAATTCCTTGCGCTAAATAAAATTTAGTTCAGAACCCCCTCTCTGCACAAATTAGACTGCTGCTACGCTCGCTCGCTTCAGGCTCGCTCGCTCCGCAGCAACAAGATTGGATTTTTATATCTACACAAAAAAGGATTATGCATCAAACAACGAAAAGGTATGTACATAAATCTTATAGGTGCTTTAATAATATATTTGCTTGTGTATCTACATAAATAATATGCAAATATATGTCACATGCGTTGCCATTTCCTTTGCATTCCGAGCCTATCGGCTTTCTACTTATAAATACTTATGTGCTAAAGCTTGTAATTGCGAATTATCTGACAATATTCTTTAAACTTTAACGTTGGACTATGTTTTATATATTTTCACTCCCTGAATGATTTCTATATTTAATAAGCGATTGAATTTTGATACGGCATGTCACAACACAATCGTTAAATATGATTCAGCTACAACTTTGAACTAAAAAAAACAGGGCTACACAATAGCCCTGAAAATCGTAATGAGCGTGATAACTCTGGATAACTCTAACATTGACCTTATCATGATGCTAATAAGTTTAACATTTGCCTTATCATTTGATAATTTTGAGCAAAGCTCTCTTTATTTATATTGTATAAATGTGTACCAAATGGCACTGAATAGTCACAATGCATATCGATGACTTATATTTATGATGATTCCTGTGATATGTAAAGCCATAATATTTAAAAAATATAGCATCTTAACATTGACCTTATCATTATGCTAATTAGCTTAACATTCACCTTATCATTTGATAATTTTGAACAAAATTCCCATTATTTTTGTGTAAATATGTGCTAATTGTCACCATATAGTCACAAGACATATCAATGAGCTATATTTATGATGAATCTTCTGATGCAAAGCCAAAATATTTAAAAAATATAACATCTTAACATTGACCTTATCATTATGCTAATTAGCTTAACATTCACCTTATCATTTGATAATTTTGAGTAAAACTCTCTTTATTATTGTATATATGTGTACCAAATGGCAATAAATAGTCACAATGCATATTGATGACTTATATTGATAATGATTCCTCTGATGTAAAGCCAAAGTATAGAAAAAATATAGCATTTTAACATTGACCTTATCATTATATTTTGTTGTATAATGTTCACTCCCCCCTGGTAAATGGTTCTTTTGCAACAAATAGACTCCTTAAGTAGATAAGTTGAAAATAATGGGAAAATAAAAGTGGCATCTTAACATTCTACTTATCATGTAGTGTGGACGCGGACGAGGACGGGGACGGGGACGCGGACGCCAAGACTATAGCAATAGCTCTCTTGCACTAAAGTGCAGGCGAGCTAAAAATATCATCCCCAAAACTAAGGAAATCGCATCTGCTTTTGTCAAGATTTCTTGAACATTTTCTTACGGAAGTATTCTCCAACTGACCCCCTATAAGGGTGTTTTATCCGCCAAAAATACATTCCAAACATCCCAGACAGTCGCGATCGATGCATTATCGCAAACAGTGGTACAAGATATCACCTCACTGTATGTATGATATTTGTCTGCTTTTTTCTGGACGTTCTCGTTTTGGTAATTTTGCCCAGCCCCTCCATGTGCGCCTCTGCATGAAAATTAAAACACTGCAGAATTACAGAAATCGTACATTTAATAATTTAAAGTGTATAACGTCAATAGTGAGTGAACTTGGCATTTCAGAGTTAGAGTGATATTATGCAACTATATAAAGAGCTATATTTTCTTGAGATTTTTCTATGGATTTTGCTGCTTTATTTATTCGTATATTACTAATATTGTACAACAAATAATTAACAACAATAATTGTATTTTCATATACAGTATATACATTTGTTTACCCGAAAAAATCGGTGAATTATTCACTAGTAAATATAGTTTGTTAAATACTTAATTATTCCTCCTTATCGCCAAAAAATTATACAACCAATCCCCATGGCCAGCTAAAACATGCAAACTCAATAAAACGTTTTTGCATATTTTTCAGCATGCTTAGGATGGATTTCCACTTGCAGAGAGAGAGAGAGTTATCTAGCGAAATATAATTATATAATATATATATATAATATATTATATATATATATATATATATATATATATATATATATATAAATTTATGACATTTAAGGCAAGATGCTTGCTCGGTATTTCCCGAGTCGCTCCTGTTTTGCAGAAAGCCTTGCCTCCTTCGCGCGATATGCATTTCGCTGACGTGTATTTTGCTTCTCTCGGTTGGTTGCGCTCTGTTGTCGGCGACGTTCGGCACGTTCGTCCTCCGTTCGCCATTCTTCGCGAAGTCTGTCATGAAACTCTTCTCTTCGTTCATGTTCTTTCGTACGAAGAAACGCCTGATGTGAGAACGGATAAAATCAATGAATCAACTTGTAGGGATGAATAAAACAAAACATGTTTAGGTTATATGCTCCATAATAATATCAACGTCGCTATTCGTGTTATCCGTTGTTTCGTCTTGTCAAGGAGCGACCGTCAGACCACAATTTTCTTTTGTTTTATTGATTATAGAATTTGTAGTTATATACACGTTGCAAAGCAATTTCTGGCATGTTTTCGCGAGTAAAACATTGACAGATAAATGAGCATGCATGCATACAGTATACTTTCTTTTAGGTATAGGTAGTATTATTTCCTAACCGACGTGCATATCAATTTAGGAGGCATTTTTTGGTTCAAGATTGCTGATCGTTTGAGAATATGTCCAGGTACAGCATCTTTATTCTTAAAGGCATTATAACATATATCATATGTATTTAAATGCTCGCTCAATGGAATGATTTAAGGTAAAAAATGAAAATCAAGTTCTTTTTCGAGTGGAAAAACCGTGTCATTGAATCGCTACGACGAGTTTGAAATCTACCACTCAGTACGGATAAGTGTGAGTGAGTTGCTTTCTGAAACGTTTATTATCTCGTTAACGGACGATTGAAAAATAACGAAAAATAAATCAAAACCCCTTTATACCTCTCTCCGCGCTTTCTTTGAATCTTTTTTGATTTCATGGCTGTCCTCAATCTCTGCAAACTTCACCTGCCTTTCCTTCATCGCCTCAATGCGTTCCGTCTTCCACTTCTCTGCCTGGTCAGTCCGATCTTTTTCATGCTTTAATATTTCTGCTTTTTTCGCTCTCCTCGTTTCCATCCTTGACGTTTTCAGTCGGTCTTGTTCCACCTCTGCCTCGGCCATATCTTCGTCGCGTTCTGTCATCTTATTCCTTGGAAGATATTTGAACAAATTTAGATTTCACTCAGTTCAGACTAACCGATGTAGGAATTTACTTAAAGCGTCAGCTGCTGGAAATATTTCACTTTATTAATTGTGAGCTTCACCTTCGAAATTCGATCCTTTTTTCCTCTTTCCCTTCCTCTACGGCAACTTTATCCTCGATGTCTTTAAAGTATCTTCTCTTATTGGATCTCATGCGCTCCAACTTATTAGCATAACGCATGTTCTTTTCTGTGTCACCATGCCCCAGGCCATCCTCCCAATTTTGAGAGCGTTCGGCGTTTCTTAACGCAGTGTCCGGACTCCAGTTCATGTCTAAGCTTCGTGTAAACTTCTTGTCTAAAGACCGCAAGGCAAGCTAATTATAAACAATTTTCATTAAACAATTGTACTTTTGCGAGATGTTATAAAATTGGTGAACTCGAAACGTCTGGGTTTATTACACTCATGTTGCATAAAAAATTGCACCATGTAACAGGGCCTTGATGTTTTTTGTTGGACAAAATAAATGTACACGAAAATTAGAATGTAAGTTGAATGTTGATGATGTTTTGTGGGAGAAGGAAGGCAAAAACATACAATGACATTAAGACAGAACCGTGAACACGTATTTCATTTTGGAGCAATATTTGCATAAATAAGTGCAGTGCATTTATTTTGGTAAAATAAAACTTAATACCGTATTAAATTTGCTATTAGAAAGGGCAATTTTCTGTAAATCTAAGTACGAAGAGAGGTGTAAAACGAATATGCTATGCAAAAGCATGCAGTTCAGTACGTCTTCCCCTCCGTATACGCGTGTCCTGTATGCAGCGGTAATTTTCAGGAGTGCATGCACGTCGATTATAACTACAGAAAGAAAGACGTTACCTGTAGCAGATGGGAATTTTACCCCAGAGGCATCTTGATATTCCGAATGTTTCACGTGTTTTCTTTCCCAGACAGCTGAGATATTTTCCTTTGCTTTTCCCCCGTCGCCAAACTGACGATACGGATGCCATTTCCTGGGTTTCTCTCCAAATTTACGATCTACCGCGTGGTAAAGAGCATGGTTTTTTTGTCATATTTTTCATAATTTAAAAGAAAATGGTCCATAAATTTTATTCAGAGGGCAGAGTCTATTTTCAATCTCATATGCTCATACGTATTTCCTATACAAATCACACAGGACACACTCACCAGTCCCAGCTGGAAATGAAACGCCTGCCACAGTTTGGTATTCCTCGTGTGTCGGACGTTCCTCAAACTTCTCCCCAGCCTCCCGTGGCTTCTCTAACGCCGTTTCTCGAAAGCGAGGCGGCTTCGATGGAGCACTAGGGCCAGCCGTATAACGCCATGGTTTGGTCTGCGGTTTGATATCCCTATCGGATTTTAATAAAACTTTTTCCCTGGGAAGCGTGAAGCGAGGTGTGACTGACAGATCAACTAAAATATAAAAAATCAAGTTTTTATTAAATCATAGCCTTCAATATATTAAATGCCTTCAATATATCGGATTTGTTGGCTAAATAGTTTGCATATAATTTTGGCCAGATACAAAGGCAGTATTATAATACAGTTTCATCATTTCTTCTAGAAGGATTTTGCCCTAAACAGCTAGCTTTTTCTAAGACTTACAATGTCTATCATGGACGCCATTGACCAGCGACGATTCACCGCTGTAAGTGGCTGTCAAATCTTCACCGCACTCCCACGACTCTTCATCGGAAAATACGCCGCTATCATATTCTCTCAACAAGTTATGCGATGACGCTCTACCATATATACGCGAGGGTTTCAGGTCATGTGATGTCGCCGTGCCAATCACAGGAGAATCTCTAAGATTCATGGAACTAGCTGTCACGGTATCCAGATCACGAGATGTCGCTCTACCAATCACAGGAAAGTCTCTATATTTCGGCGTACTTGTTATGTTCAGATCCAAGGCACGTATTAGATTGTTGTTCTCTACAATCTGCTCGTTTATCTTTTGTTTCAGTTTCTCATTTTCCTGCGAAAATAAAAGAACTTAATATGGCTTTGATATTGCAATAGCAGTTGACAAGACAATTTAACTAATCTACCATTTCGTCAAGAGTACTTCAGGTTTACATAGAAAGGATTGTACAGGAATATTAGGATTGAGCTCATATTGACCTAAACGATTTTGTGCTCCGGCCGCATTCGTTTTCAGTCGAGTGAATTTGATAAAAGGATGAAATACGAGACGCGAATATTTTAAGAATATTTACACAACCCTGCATGCACTGAGCTTACGATGTGCTCAAAAGGCTCTGACGGCGCGCCAGCTGATAATACACACCAGGGATAGTTGAACATTATAATTAGACACCGATATTTGTCCCCCTAAATTGTTTTCCAAATTTTTATCCGTAATAGTTATCCAAATTTTTACCCCTGCAGCACCCCTCTAGACTAGGTTAGGGAGGTGCGCGCCCTCTTCCAAGTAAATCTACCCTTCATACACATATAGTATGTATTAGGACTACAGACAGAATCATATCTATATACAGTACAAATTTGAAAAGTTGCCGGCATAGAAATGTTCGGCTGACTTATATACCCACCAACTGAAGATTGCGATTGTCATCCTCCAATACACTTTTGGCCGGACGAGGCCGTAATTCAGAATGGATAACAGAACTACGAAGTCGTTGTTTTTTCCTTTGTGACTCAGGCAACTGAATGTCGAGAGATATGCGGTCAAATCTATTCTCGGGGATACGAATTGCAATACCATGCTTTAAGGAGACCGTTTGACCATTGAAGAAAGTCACCAATAGTTCACCGTCATCGTCATCTAAAGGGAGATGAAAAGTGTATTTTCCCATTTCCTAGTTTAAATTTACTTGAACTTATCCTTTAGGGAAAAATTTGTTTGACCAAAAATTTTTTTTGAGATATTTACAGTAGATATTTTTAACTTTTCCCAAAATTGACACTGTCATGATGTCCTCACATTTTTGTCCCTCCAAAACATGTCCTGTCTAGGATAATTTATTACGATATACGAAGTGCTATGCAACGAAAATATTATACCCTTCTTCTGTGTGTCCCTTCGCTCAAATCCATCCAGTACAGTACCAGGTCCATATCGTCCATCTTGCTGCCATGGAGCGAGAACTTTGTCGCCCATTGCGATATTCAAACGATAAGCGTCCTTATACGCAATCATGTTGGAAACTAGAACTTCTTGAGGGGCTGGTTTTCTTAGCCCTGGACACGATTCAAACTTTATCACAAAACTGTCGTCGGTACCCTGCGGAAATTTGGAGAAATTGTGAATCAAACTCCTGATCATTATCCTATATTTCGTATTCAGCGCAACTCAACAACTTATTGAATAGAAGAATAAAATTCTATGTCAATTATATCACGGGATTCTCGAAAAATGTGTGCAACAATAAAACCATCGTCTCTCACAAATAATTTGCATGTATCTATTTAGACTCTAATTATATAATTTGAGGGCCGAAACTAGAACGATTACAAAAGAAATCCGCGGGCAGAACTGAAATATGAATAAACGCTACCCTCCCCCCCCCCAATTATCGTAACTAACAAAATGATATTATTTGAGTTACATTTTGAAATTAGAAATTTTGAAAAAATTTATTGACAAAAATTATTATAACATACGCTGGCGTTTCAAATACCCCGCAACGCAGAACTTTGAAACACATTGATTGTTCTGCGCTATTGTTCATTATCCCATTTTTTTACATTGTTCACACAACGACAGCAGTGTGCAAGTGTCTTGCTTGGGACATTTCTGGAAGTTCTTCCCAAGAATACCTTTCAAAGTTGAAACCTTCAACTGACTTCAGGTGTCCTTGCTTATGATAACCTCCCAGGACTACAATGTTGTTTTCAATAACAACTGCAGTACATCCCTTCTTCTTACATCTCATTGATGGCAGCATGTGACTTTGTTCTGTCTTGACATTGTAAATGATAACTGTATCTAATGTCTTGCCACATTTGTCAACGCCACCAATAACAACGATGTTGTCTCCCCATCTCACAGTTGCCATATCACTCACTTCATAAGGCAGTGGTGACAACTGTTTCAACTCATTCTTCTTTATATCGTACAGTACGACACTGCTGAGGTTGTCTTTAAAATATTTAGTTGTTCTTCCACCAACTATCAACAAGCTATCATCAAATATTTCCATTCTATGACCTCGTCTTCGTTCAGGCATTCTTGATAAAGTCTTTCCAGTATATGGAGGAACAAGCTGGACCGCTGTGATCAAGTCAGATGAATAATTTCCGTCATCACCTCCACAAATCATTAACTGATCATTATACAACACACTGCTGTGGAATGCCAACTTGACAGGTAGTTTAACAAGACAATCTCTCCACTGAGTTGAAGGATCAGGGTTTGTATCAAAATTGATTCTAATTATATCATCAACAACATGCCAACCACAAGTACCCCCAGCTATAGTCACATGGTTGTTAAAAATAAATGAAGTCGCTCCGCAACGATTCTTTGGCATTGATTGTAATGGCGACCATGTTCTTTGACGCCAGTTAAACATCTCCACAGAGCCAATTCTATCACCTCCAGCAACAATTATATTCTCTCTATCGCCGCTCGGTTTATTTTTCGTGTTTTCTATCTTTCCCTCCATAGTGATAAGAACGTCCTTCATTTCATCAAAAGCTCTGACCAAAGCTGTTTTCAATCCTTTGACTTCATTATCGACTGCTTTGCGTTTTCCATCTATGCCCTTTTTAATCTCACGTAAATTTCCCTCCATATTCCCCATTCGAACCTCCACATTCTTCATGTGGTTCTCAATCGTTACCATTTTTTCATTTCTTGCCACATTTGCTAATCTTTTTTCCGCTGTTATCTTGGTCACCATATTCTTCTCGATATTCGCCATCCTTTCCTCCATATCTGCCAAAGTTTTCGACATTTCTCCGCACGAGTGACACTTCAACTTTCGGAATTCACAGACTTCACTTTCATGGTGAATAAAATCACGCTTGTTGACAATCAAACCACAGCCTTGGTTTGTACAAACGGCTGGTGTATATCCACATGTATCTTCATGGCGGTCAAGATGCTGTAATTGTACTAGTTCTGGACAACCTCTGTCGATGTACACGCAACGAATTTTTAATTCGTTTAACATCTCTTTCACCATTCTATTTGGTTCGATCAAAGTCTCTACGGTCAGTTCATCATTACACGTTGGGCATCTTTGAAAACTCTCCAGATGTTTCGTAATACAACAACGGCAAAAACAATGTTGGTTTCTCGAACACAGGACAGGCTCTTTCATGACATTGAAGCAAATTTCACAAAGGAAATTTCGGTTGACTTTGGTCTCGAAGCGTTCCTCATCGTAGCCTTGTATATATGAAGCCATATTTCATGTCGTTCTTGTGTCGTAATAAGAAAGCAAGTTCTGTGTTGTTTGTCGCTCTGTACCTCGCTGCATAGACTGAATATGGATACAGTGTTCGTTCTTTGAAAAGTCTGTTAGAGTTTTCTGCTTGAAACAATCAACAAAACGATCTGTTTAAAACAGACCAACATCGCTTCCGCATAAAGTGTTTAAAGTGCCTCTTCAAAATAGTAATTTACAAACAGGAAATACCTAAGATAATTCAAGTCTTTTGACAAAAGGTCACCAACTGCAATTGGTCGCAATTCGTAAACAATAATTCCGCAATTAAAATATGAAATGAGTTCCAAGAAAAGGATACTTTTTACCAAGAAAAATCAATCTTAAATACGTTTATAAATATTTCGCAAGTGTCATGGAAATATTCCGAAAAATTGAAGTTTTTATTCAACTCATCTCATGCAGATGTGAATTCAACAGACAAATAGACGTGCTGCTGATATATGGAACAGAAAACCATTAAATATGAGATAAATTCGACGGCATTTTAATGGCTTTCGTATATTTTTTACTTTTTTGACTTTCGTATATTTTTAAAATACGTTCACACGTCACTTTCGCAGACAAACACGGTGTCACAGGAAATTTGGCCTCCCCTAGCTAAAAAATATGGTTTGCCTTGCCCTTGGTATTTTAGAGCTAGGAAACCGTAAAGTTTATAAAAATTAAAATTAACAGCATCTATAAGAGTTTATTTTCTCAACATTTATGGCTTTAGTGCACGTAATTTCTTGTGTCATGTAATACATGCAGTAATACTGACAATGATTAGCTAAGTACGAAGTCATATATGCGTGATGTTGTTGGCGTGACTTCGCTAGCACATTTTTACGCGTTCCTTTAGGCATTTAGCTCTTGATCCCAACGGAGAATTTCGATACACAATAAATACTAACAAACTTTCAAGATTTTAGTTTTAAAAGAAATTAAGCTCAGCGATTTCCAAGCTATATATATATGAGAGTGTAAAGTATGTTTTCGAAGGGACCTAATTCCCGAATAGGAAAATATGTAAGCAGCTAAAATGCAGAAGAAAGGTTTTTTAAGAATTAACTACTTATTTATTGATTGATTTAACTTAATGTTGTTTTTCGATCAAAGCTTTCAACTGAATCTATGATATTATGATAATCTGTAGACTGTAGTTGTTAGCCGCGCCAAATGTCCTAGGAAATATGGCCGCGCGGGGGCCAAATTTTTGGGGGGGCAAACCTCCTGGGACACTGGCTGCGATATTTGAGTATTTTAACTCATTGTTTACAAAAGCATTAAAAATGTCATCAAGAGATTAGTATTAATTTAAAAAAATACGAGGAGAATAGACCTATTCGAAAAAAAGCAAGAGGCCTGTTTCGAGTTACGCGAAAACGAGACTAGTAAGATTTTCTCCATTGAATTTAAAAGTCGTTTGTTACTTTTTCGCTGGACCTGTCAAACTACACAAAAACAATGTTCTTCCAGTCAAAATTTAGAAATATAGAAATGATTTTGAAGTTTTCACAGCAGAAAACCTGACTAGCCTCGTTCTCGCATAAGGCCTCTTGCTAGCTGTTTTTAAAAAAGGTCTATAGGCCGATTTAGCAGAACAGTTTAGCAGAATGTATACAAAAATAACTGGAATTCGCAATAGGCAGTTTCGAAAATGCTTCTAATGTGTATAACCGCAAACTTATATTATTATGTCTTTGTTGTTGAAGCGGCACATATTGGTTTGCGCTGCTGCGGACTTCCCGCTGCGTACTAACATTATATATTTGTACAAGACCTAAGATAATAAATTAAATTAAATGTTTTATGCGACACTACACACTTGCAGCCGCACAATTCGTACTTACTTGGTCTTTGACTTGTCCCAGGTAAAACAATCCATCCCTATCAATCCTAGCGAGGACTTTAACACCTTTCATTACGGAGGACGCCAGAGGAGTTGAAGAGCAACGTATCCCGGCAGATTGGGCTAAGCCTCGCGCCTTGACCAAAGCATCCGCGTAATCTAAGACTTTCGAGTCATCGAGGATCCTACGTTCTACGTCCAAGGTAGGATCACTGTAAGGGGCGCGGGGAACAGGGGCTAGCCTGTCAGGAGTGAGTGAATTAAGAGAACTTAGATAATCACGACCCAGCGCGGAGTTTGGGTTAGGGTAAGGCTTGCTGTCATCCTGCGTAGAATCTACAAAAAAATGAACGAACGTTGAATTTCGTCAAACTTTCGCAGAATGTAACTGCTACAACAACTCGCGATAATTTTATTCAGGAAGAGCCTCGTACCCAGACGCTTTATTCGATATCACAAAGGACTGCAAACAGATACATCGAGATCAGTGAATAGGAGGCATGTATAACTGAATACCGCTTTTATCTTATTCAAGTGAGACACCTGGGTATGAGGCTGATTTGGGTAACTCTCATCTGAGTGCCATACTATTATGAGAAATTTTGCACACTAAAGGCCTTTGCAACTTGCCAAATTTTCTTGCAGACGAAGACCTTTGCAATATAAGCATAAGAAACGTCCATGGATTGCAATAAACATAAAGGTTTCGTGGTTGCCAAATTTACATATCTCTTAAAAGAATTCTATTGCAAGTTGCAAAAAAATTGCACCGTGTAACAGGAATAAGACTAAAGTTTTTAACAATATGTAGGTACTTGTTTTGTATTGTTTCAAATTCGCGAACTTCATAACGTAACTTTTGGAACAACAGTTTTCATATAACTATATAGGTTGGAAAAACAGCTTGCCAACTTACCATTATCTTCGTAGCGTTCGTTAGCAGAATTAAAAATAGGAAGAACTTGCTCGACCTTTCCAAGGTGAGGCGACAATTTTACGATATGAAACGATCCGTGCGTCTGCTCAGCGAGGCTTCTGAGAAATTCACATACAGCGGGATCTGAATAGGTCCCTTTCAAATAAATGCAATGCACTGGAACGGCACTGGACATCGAACTCAATTTTTCGAGAATTACGGCTGGCCGTTGGTCGGGTAATCCAATTGTGATCATGTAAACAGCCTCGATGTTGGGGTCGCTGAATGCCTGGAGCAGGGCCGTCATAGTGTCGGTTGAGGTACCGCAAGTCAGGTTGTTTATCCATCGAGAGGCGATATTTACCGTTTCCGTATTGCATTTCACAAGTCTTTCTGTCCATTTGCGTGTGTTTTCATCGAACTGAATTATGTTGAACATGGTATCTTGCGAAAGAATAGCACGTCTTGTGAGAACCTTCAGGAATTAGACAAAGCCAATAAGGTATATACATAGAATAAGAGTCATGCATAGTCATAGAAGAAACGAATAAACAACTGTTTGGTTTAAGCAGGCTTATCCAACTTTACGGCAGTGAATTTTCGGTACAATAAAGCATTCGTAAAACACCCGATAGAAACGAATGGAAAAAACAATACGGAGCTTTACTTCTTTTTTACGTATAGGTCGGGAGTGAACTGTGGAAAAAACCTGGGGCCGGTTGTTCGAAAGGCGAAACACCTAATAAGCTGACTAAATATTTCGATGCAAACAGTTTAATTTTTTAATGGATTGGGACGTACAGTGTGATAATTTGGACGCGATCATTTTAATTTCCGAACTACTAGTATACTAGTTATGATTTCAGCTTCAGCTTAATCTTGTATGTAATAAGGATTGAAACACAATTGGGATCATCAGGGGTGATCGACCTGCAGGGGTATAGCTGCTATGTTATATAACACTTTGCCTTACAGGGATAAGTGGGGAATCCATGTGCTAGCTACCATATAGAAATTAAGTTTCCTCTGCATGTAGTTGCTATGGTAAAAAATTGTATTGTATGGCTTTTTGCAAATTACCACTGCATGTGCATGCCTCAACCACTCCAAACTCAATCCTGCTACTCCTGAATTTGATGATGGCAAGCAGACCATGTGCCTCCATTATTATTTTGGAGAGGAAAGGGAATTTGTATTTGAAAAGGACAAAATATCACAATCTAATTAAAAAGCTAGTCAAGTTACATTGGAACTGATCGAGGCTGGTGCTTGTGTGTGTATTACCCTATTCTATAGTTCCCTGAATAATCCAATTAACAAATGATTGATGATTCTTGATGATTCCTAATGATTGATACAATGGTCTTTTTGTTCCCAGATTCTTAAATCATTCTTCAAAATATTTGAAAGGTTGACCCTAACTTGGCTTTCATATACATATTCATCACTTTGTAGATAATTTCCTGCCATGTTAGACAACGTATAATATGATATAACTTTAATCAGGGCCGGATTAACCATATGGCAGAAGCGGCATATGCCACGGGCCCCGTGGTTTTGGGGGCCCCGCGCTTTACTCAGTTCATTTTTTTCGTTGCGTGGGAGACTGACCACAAAATGGCCACAAAGCCTCAAGGCCACAAAGAAAAAATAAAGTGACTCCAAAAAGCCAGGCCCCATAAATAAATAAAAATGCCTTTAAGCTTATATTAAGCTATCGGAGCGAAATAAATAACGCGAAGCCTTAGAAATCAAAAGTCGAGGCCCAATTATAGGCACCCCTGCAACCAGATTCTCCCAGGAAAATTTTAGAGTAATGGGAAAATTTAGAAATTTAAAACTTCAAGTAAAGGTAGAGCCACCCAGAGGGGTGGTCAAAGGGGGAAATTAGCCCTGAGCCCAGTGTTGTAAGGGTCCCCAAAAACTTACAAGAATAAAATTAAACTGCATGTTGTTGGAATATATAGTCCTCTTTCAGAAAACGTCTTAGGTTGTTTATAGTTTAGGTAATGCAATATTATACTCAATTTTGCGGAAATCTCACCCCCAAAACGCAGGAAATCGCATTTGCTGCACTCTAAAACTCAAAATTTTCTTGGGGAAGGATGCCCCCAAACCCCCCAAACACTGCTACAGCCCCCCAAATTCAATTTTCTACACCAATGTTCTGGTCATGCATTATTTCGCTACAGTAGCACAAATTGCTATTTTTTTGCGGATTTTACTCCCCTAACGAGAATTTTACCCAAGCCCTAAAAATTCTGTGGCCGGTGAGTAAAGGCTTTGATGCTTTACGGGATTGAGGGGCCCCGCAATGAAAAAATGCCACGGGTCCTGCGAAAGGTTAATCCGGCCCTGACTTTAATATTGGGGATTCCAACACTTTGAATGTCAAGTTGTTTAATTAATAACCACTTTCATGTATATTACTAGTACTACAAATTAATAAATCTGATAAGAAGACTTTTTTCATTATAAAAGGGTGGGAGCTTAATGATTTCATCCTCTTATGAGGGGGGCAAGCTTAATTGTTAAGTAGGAGTAACTGCATGAGTAAGCAAAATATAGGATCTTAAAAGAATCCTAGAGAATCCTATAAGATCCTATAAGATCTTATAGGGTCTTATATAGGATTTCTACCAGGGTACCCACGCAAGGACGAAGGTCAACAGTGAAAATTGACACCCTGGGTATAAGGTTGGGGGTAACATGAGAGAAATATGGTATATTCAGAGTTCAGACTGTTTAAGTGTGATATATTATTGATATCATTCACAAAACTCTAAGATTCTAATTAATTTTTTTGGAGAATGATGGCTCTTTAAGAGCTTGGAAGGTCGCAATTTCATACAGCAGTAATTTCTGCCAAACAAATGAAACAACAGCATCGGTAAATTATAGGATGGGTGAACTCTCAGATTGTGTTTTTTTGTACTGTACGACAGATAATATTAAGAATTAAGAAATATACAATCCCAAGAGTCTTATATTATGATGTCCCATGCTGGGCCTAGTAGCACATATAATTTTAGAATTTAAAAGTGAATTATAAAGCTTTTTATTTGTTGAAATGTTGAACTACGGTTGTATGTCAATAAGAACGTAAAAACTAAAATGTATACCTCGATGAGATGGTTCTTAACAAATCCCAGTTGATGATGCATGGATATGGATGTGTCAATGAGAAAATATACATTGTTCTCAGTTATACGACCAAATATATTCTGTCCGACTTGAAAAGACATCGTATAATAAAATACGATGAGACGAGACTATTTTGTACACTAAAACTTGATATAAAATACACGAGATTTATAAAGTCCCATTCATAACAATGTACAGTATTAAATAAAGAATATCGTGTTGTCAAACACAGGACGAGTTGTCGTGTTACAAAGCGTCCGTTGACATGGAAACATGTAAATATATGTAATAACTTATGTTAATTTGTGGTATCCTGTGATGAGCATACCGGGGTACCCGGTATAATATATGAAATAAAATTTGCAACGATATATTAAAACACCACAGTCACCACACTGGTACTTTTTCTTCTATCATTTTCTTATCGAATCTTTTTGACTATTAAATTATTGTGTAAAATATTAAAAGGCGAATCATCACTGGCAGAGTGGTAGTCAGCGAATATCCGCCCCTGCGCAAAAAGAGGACAACTGGTAGTTCTATTTTGGTAGAATAGGATGGTTTATGTCTTTATGATTTAAGATTTGATTTATAATTTAAAAATATTCGATAGACAGTGCGATAGATCACATAGATATAGAAATCAAATAATAGAACAATTCTTGGTTCTATCTCTGGTTCTATCTCATACGTCAGATGTTCGTTCGTTATTCATTGGACCCCAATCGGTCTCTCTTCGGTCCCTGTCGGTCTGTGCTCGAGCATTCAGCAAATTGCCGCGAAATTCCTGTTTTGTTGAGTTTGTTTGTTCGCGTCAATTCACAAGAAGAGAAGAGTCCAAAGGAACTAAAAATAATCGAACGAAACAGTTGGTATTGCTACTGGTTTGCTGCATGCCGGATAAGGTGGATTATTGAAATTTTTATTTTGTAGCTAATGTGTTTGATGTTTATTTTCGAAATATTGAATTTCTTGCGATTGCTCGTCTTCTTCTAGCGAGGTGAGCGTATCAACTGCGTACTATGTCGATCTGGTCGTCAAAGTACAGCAACATTAGCAAGAGCAAGAATGCGGAAGATTGACTGGCCAGCCACGACTGAAGGTTCCATCAATGCTGACCAGGTAGTAAAAGTATACCTATTAAATGGCAAACTGTTGGGGAAACCATTAATCTAATTAATTCAACATGTTGCAAAAATACAATAGTCGCAGTAATTTGCAACTTTCCAACGTCTAGCCAAGGGCTTTGCTTGTAAGACTTGATTCATGGGCTGACTCGGAACAACAATATTGCAGCAACATTGTTTTGGATGTTTCCTAACCAGTGCTGACAATGTACTTTCATATTTCCAAATCATGGTCAACACTCAGCAGGGAATCAGCAAGTTCTTTTGCAACAATATTCTCACAGTTGGGCAAAAAGGAAACATTTTTAGACCAGGGGCCAGTTGTATGAAAGACTAATTAACTTTCAACTGTAGTTTGGGAGAAAATGGCTAATCGGAGTCATGTATTTCTGATTTAACTTGGTTTTAACTATGCAGAATGTAGTTTTATAGGGATATATTACTGAAATCCTGAAGCTAAAAGACCACAAATTATTTATTTGTAATTTTCCCTTCAATTAGAAATAAAGTAAATGTAATTGATATCTGCACAGGGATTCCACTTGATACCTTTATTGCTGAGAGACAATATTTAAGGTGCACTGGATATGTACAGTCAACAGTTTCCAGCTTGATATTTACCTTTATCTAGCCAGATCGATACCAGATAATTTGTTGTCTTTATTATAGCTTTAGAATATTGAAGCTACAAATAACATCAACATGCCTACCGTAAAACAGCAATTAGAACTATACAATTTCAATAAAAAAATCATTCACAGCTAGTATTGAAGAAGTTGAGGAAAATCATTGAGATGAATAAACCATTGAGATGATAAACCAATCATTGAGATGAAGTCTCAATCATTCTGTAACAATTCTTATATATCAAGACAAGGTTTTTGCATTTTCTAAGAAACAAAATGATTCTTCATCCCTCCTAGCTTGCAGCCATATAATTTAAGTATATAATGTTCAAAATATTCAGTAAATCACTATTCAGTGCATCTCTAATAATATTCTTGGATACCTTGCTAGCCTTTCTGGTGCAATGTTTCCTACAAACAAGTTAGCAAATTGTGCAAGTTAGCAAATTCACATTCACCCTGCTTGTTTCATGCAATTTGATGCCCACTCACATAGGTATCTTATTCAATAGGAAGCCAGGAAAAATTTTGATCATTAGATATATAGGTAACAAATAAATTATATAGTATGGGGTTATTATCTTGACTTTCTTAGGATATTATACAAGTCATTTTACCTACTGTTAAAACTAAGCATTTTACTGTTACAGGTATATGATTTTTACATCTTTATCTTCATTCCAGGATCCACAAATCCATACGAGGATAGATGATGCATTTTCCAGTGTTCTGCAATATATGTCGGTCACCAGTCGACAATGCCGGGTTAGTCCATTCTATTATGACAGAGAACTGAAAATGTAATAATACCGTAGGTGGCGGTGGATTCCATTCTCCACCCATGTTAAGCAAGGGATGTGACGTATGTACCGTTATCTATGGAAGCATGCATTAAGTAAATAACAGTCTGAGTGCAAAACTGCCATAATTGTCATGCTGTACAGTTCATATTACTCTCCCAACTTGCATTGCCTTGAATTCACTTGCTTGACATTTGTGTGCATGATGAACCCTAGTTAAAATGCAGCAATTATATCAGTTTGTCACTTTTTTTCACATAGAGATATTTCAAATGCTCACCCCTTCATGACGATCACGACGAAGAACATATCAAGAGATTTCATCATTCCAAATATACATCAGTCACATACGGGAATCCGGTGAGTTTATGCGCTAATACTGTTTGTTATACACAGACAACCCTTAGGCCTGGTCAGATTTGTACCCAATTCTTTCATCGCAAATGCAGTTATCCGTTTCCTCGCGATTTTGTGAAATCGTGGACATGTTATGACGGCAAGGCTTAGGACATATTTCGGCACCTTTCGGCCCTGCTCACTGCTGTGTATATATAATCTTTCCAGCTTCAAAAATCCGAAGATGTTCATGTCGAACTTACGCCTGGCACCTACGCGGTCACTGCTGGTCAATGGGGTGCTCCAAGGAACCACACGCAGGTCGTAAGGCTGGATCCAGGGCAGACCGTCGATATGACTTTCACGTGTCACTGAAGACTACTAGTTTGTACCAATATACGCTGTACTTTTCTCCAATTATCACACTCAGTACTCACGGCCCTTCAGTACGAATAGATTTATATTGGTAATATTGCTGAACTTACACTGTACATGTATGTAGTCAAATCACGATGCATAGATAAATTATTTTTTTAAAAGATGTCATGCCCATAAAATGACGTCTCACCATGCACTGTATATTTAATATTATTAAAAATAATGCAAAATAATTATGATTTTTGGCACTTCACTCGATGCAGATAAATTGGGTCTTAATTTCGAGTGGAATTATACACCCTTCAAATTCAAGCCAGGAACAGTTGAAATATAGGTCGTCCAGCAGGAATCGAATCTACGCTTTTTGCGATGCCGAACCGTTGTGGCAAGAGCATTGCACCGGCATCGCAAAAAGCGTAGGTTCGATTCCTGTCGGAAGGCCTATAGTTTAACTGTTCCTAGCTTGAATTTGAAGTGTGTATAAAGGCTAATTTCCACTCCGGAAAACGAGCAGCAGATCGGGTCGGATCGGAACCAAAGATAATCCGCGGGTGCGCCGTCTGTTGAAATTTTTGGCTTATATTGATCCGAAAGCGTCCGAGACAGGATAAAAAAAAAGCTCAAATAGTTTTAACTTTTTTTGATCCGATCCGAAATCACTTCATGGATCGGACCAGCTCGGAAAAAAATCCGATCCGATCCGCTGCTCGTTTTCCGGAGTGGAAATTAGCCTTAACTCCACTCTAAATTAAGACCTTTTGAACCTCTAATGCAAAATAATGTCAGATTTCAATTTTACTTTAAAAAGATGTGTTCAAAGAAAGATGAAAATCATCTTTCTTTTAGTTCCACATCTATGGTTTAAAATGAAAAATAATTTTCATTTTAAAAACTGTAGATGTGGAACTTAACCACAACAGGAAAACGATGCTCCGGAGCAAAAACTTGGAACCTCCTTTCTTGTGGGTGTCGCATCTCTAATTGAAATTAATGAAATGTGACGTAATTATTAAAAGGATTTCTTAGAGCGATCAATAAACAAGGAATAAACCGCTCCTGGCGCAAAGGATTTCTGCACTTTCAGGTACTTTTCAACAAAGATCAGTTCAAATTTGAATTAAAAGCTCTTCACTTCGCAGCTTTCCATACCATATCAGTTTTCCGTTAACTATATAGACTAAGAAACCGTTCTACATTTTTGTAGTGTATAGGACTTCTGCGATGCTTGACTACGTAATATGTTATAGGTCGCATTGAACATGCAGGTGACACAAATTTTTCGGGGTATTTTCGTCTTCTTGCCGATTGATTTTCTTTGAAACGAATTGTCTTTGCGGAAGCTGACAATAATTTATGAAATTCTAATCGACTCTATAGCTGAACCACCAATTAAGCTCGTTATTAGTAAATAGATTTACGCTGCGATGAATACCGCGATTTAAAGGCTAACAAATAGGCAGATAATCGTAATCCACAAAAATGGTATAATGATTATTGTGGTATAAGCTGCAGGCTTGCGGCATTCGACAATATTACGTCGTTCATTGTATTCGTATTTGGTATCAGTCGATGAAGCTGTACTGACATTGCCATTAGTTATTTTCCTCCGTTATTTTCTGACTCCATACGTTGCAAGTCAACTGACTAATCAACTGACTAAATCGTGTATAATCTTATATTACAGTCCTGGAGGAACTATAGAAAAGGCCAGAAACGTAGGCGAAACTGCTATACCAAAGGTACCAAATATTGGATAAAAGTCTGGCAAGCCTAAAAAAACCCTATATGATGCTTGCATTAGAAATTAAACCCAAAAAGATGGCGGTTAAGTGCTACTAAAATTTGACGATTTTATCATGCTATTTAACAATAAACAAATGATGGCGGCTTGTCGAATTTTTGCAAAACTTTCAAACATCACTCGTACTATTAATCCCCAATTGTACTCGCCATCGCATGACTGTATATACCTATATTAATAATACTATAATAATAACAGTTAGCTTGATGCATGAGGTTATGCAAAAACTTGTTTTAACACTCGCTATAAAATTGCTCTTCCCACATCTCAATGCGATTAACCATAGCATGTCCTTATTTTACAGGTTATTTGTGTGTTCATTAGCAATCCCTGCAAGTGCTTTTTTGTCCAACTGTCAAATATTAAACGCTGAATTAACGAGGAACTTCTATTGTCGAGCACAGGTATTTCCTCTTTTCAACTTTATATGTTATAATTACGTTCTTCGAACATCTCGAAGACGTAAATATAGAAGATGGGCCTTTCCTATGCTACTATTGGCCTATTCATTCTTGTGGCAGGTAAAAACATTGTTATTTTTTAAAGGCATAGCAATTAAATTGTATTTTTTTATCACGGTGAATGCTTGTGTTTACATGTAATTGCCTTATCGCTTCATATCGTTTGATCTCAACGATTAAATTCTATTTTTAAGAAAAGCCGTACAATGAGATAGCCTACCACGATAAATTCTTCTCTATAAGTTATAACTTATAATTATAATGCAATTGCGAGATCAGTTTTCTGGCCAGAACATGCAGGCTGTTTCGAACATATCATCAATTGACAGTATTATATATATACTTATCGCTTTTACCCCAGTAGCTGTTAGGCCATTCTAACTAACTCTCTCTCCTAGAGCTCTCTTATAAACGCGAGTCAACGTAAATTGTATTTTTCAACATGTTTACATTTTAGTCTAAAGACTAAACCATAGCTTGGTATATTACCGAGGCCAGGTAGTCTTCAAATCGAAGTCGCCCGAAATGGAGATGTGATTTTTGGGATCTCTATATTGCGCCTTTTAAAACAAGGCTTTGTTTACTGATATGCATGGTAAATAGGGCAAAAACCTAAATTAACCGCTTCAAGTTTCTATCCTTTAGCCTGCTGTATGTCTGTTAATGGCATTCGCATTGGAAGAAAAGCAGTACGTCCTTTTCCTGTACGACAACGCGCGGTTCGTAAGACGAGACACGTAGCATTTCTTAAAAGACCCAGCGTGGTTTGCCATTGCAGTTATCGCAAGTATCTGCGTCTCAAAGCCAGAAACCTGTGAGTAATTTGTTTCCAAATACATTTACGTTATCGCTATATTGATATATAGAATACGGATTATATATAGGACTATAAATAACAGGAATTTCGGCACCTTAAGCCTGGTTTTCATATGTCGTAATTCATCGGCGATGGCTATCATTGTCGGTGGTCATTACTGCATAAAATCCTTTGCCTATCGAAGAAAATGATACACTTCATTGACACACTTATATAATTGGTATTCGAAGAGTATGTAGACCCGATACGCGAAACATTGAATGACATTCTCTGACCACAACGTTTTGGCCAAGAAGAACCCCTTGCGAGTGAACTTCGTGAACTTGTGACCCTAACACCAGCTCAAGGCGGTTTGGGCGCACCGAATTTGAGAATGGAAGCTCCCCTGCAATATGCAGCTTCAACGTTATTTACCAATCAACATGTGAGTTCAATCAAATGTCAAAGTGAGGTTCTGGAACGGATAGAGCAGCCTATAGATGATCTGAAGCGAATACAGCAAGCAACCAAAACGGAAACTGTTAAATCATGAATGGATACTATTGATGCAACACTATCCCCAGATGTACCGTTTTTGGTAAAGCAATCAGGAGATAAAGGAGCGAGTTCTTGGTTAAACGCGATACCACTCAAATTAAGATCAGTGGGGCTCGTTGCGCGGATCACGGACAATAGATCGTAGAACATCGCCGATGAATCACGACATATGAAAACCGTGGCCTCTTGTATAAAACTCTTATGGTGGTCTTATACAAATCTTTTTTTCTTTTATTTTGAAAAATATAAAAATCTTTTCATGCCATATTGCAAGCCAAGTTGCTCTGAGTCAAAAAAGACTGGTAAGAGTCTTCAATCACTATAGTTACCCATACCAGACACACCTAATGGTGGAAAATTTGACGATTTTTGTAAAAACGATAACAAACTAGGTTTTAACGCTAGAACGACGTAATTGGTTTTATTTAGTTCTAAATATTTTTGCCTCGGAGCTGAACTTCGAATAAATAAAACTTTTCCAGTATTAAACGTTTTACAAGCTATAAATACAAAACTTCTACGACCTATCTCAAATAAACAGTCGTTATTTCACTTAGACTGAACGAAATACAACACTTTTAGGTTCAGGTCCGACCAAATTGTCTTTAAAGTCTACCATGAAAATTTTATCAAGATAGCTTTATTACTTTTTGAGTTATCTTTTCCCAAAATAAGAGGAATGAGAATTTTAGTTAGCTAAGAAGGGCGACGAAAAAATGGACCAATGGACCCCTTTTATTTGCTCAGGGTAAAACCCTAATTAATATCACTTTTCGTTTAATTCTCCCGTTCTTTATATATATTTTTCAAAAAAATTATTCAGGATCGATTGGGGAGACATTTAAGTTGGCACCCTTGAAATTTTAAAAACAGAATAAATCGTGTTTTTTGTGTATAAGACTTTTTAATCGTAGTTAACTAGAAAATATACGATTCTAATTGGCCAATTCTGCCACTAACTATAGTGAAAAGTTAACTACAACTCGTTTATTGTATTATATTTTTTTTATTACACATCGAGTGAAATCATTCTATCGAATCATTGATTTGATAAAAAAAACCATGGTAAAAATTGGGGGATAATTGACGCTCCAAAATGGGACGTGCATGTCCCCAATCCCCCAGAATTGACGCCCGCGATCAGTCTAGTTTCAAAAATAACCTTTTCTAATTTTAGTTTACGACGCGGTGAGGTTATCAGATTGGAACGAGGAAAGAAATTATCGAAGAAATTTATTCGTGATGTGATTTACGCTCCCCTGTGTTGCAAAATCGATTTATCGAATCCGAACAAACGTAAGCAAAATCATAGTTATTTAAAGTATATGATGTACTACATCCTATTGCATAGATTGGACGAAGTCTTAAAAGAGTATTTTAACTATCCTGGCAAAGATAACTATCCTGGCAAACTCGTTCCCAGGGCCTTTTGGCTATCATGGAATTCGTTGCTAAATCGTGACGTCCAACGAGTAACGTCACAACGTAGGATACAGCTTTCTTCATGCACGCTGTTACGTCGTAACGTGTGAGAAAGCTTCGTATCCCACGTTATTACGTCACAGGTGTCGACGTCCCAAGGAACGGCAATCTGAATCAAAACAAATCGAGCAAACAAAGTTATAATCATTCAGCATCCAGTAATTTTCTCATGCTAATAATAATAAGAATAATATCATCCTCAATAATATCAGCCTCATCAAGAAACTCCAGCTTTTGATAATTCTTCATGTCATATCCAACCTGCCTGGAAAATGGGTAACCATATTACTATACCTAGCTTAAGAGGTAAACCAAAGTAATTAAACTCGCGTATGGAAGCATTTTGAAGTGTGGAAAAAAGTCCCCTGAATTTTGCATGCTTTAAGTTTACTAAGCAAGCAATTTTCTTCAAGAAGATCTCAATTAACTTCCCACGAAAATAAAAGGATCTGAAACCTTGCTTAACAAATTATATATAATTTCACTAGACTATAAATATTCCCCACAAAATTCGCTACCATATTGTCTGCATGATATTTTGCAACTGATATTTGCATCAATTCTTTATTGTCAATTTAGTGTACAGGTACCCCATGACAATATGCCTAACCCAGAAGGTTTTTAGTGAAGAATACAAAGACACCGAGAGTGCCCAATTCGAAGAATTATCAAATGAATTGATTAACACTGTAAGTACAGCTCGTTTAGTGCAAAAAACTAACAAAACTTTGAATAAACTAGCAAGGTCTTTATATGGTAGCCTTATTCAAAGAGTCGAAATATTTACATATTACACTGTCTAGAGTTTTTATACTTTCACGTTTCAACTTATCTACCTTACATAGTTTTACATAGTTTAAAATAGTTTAAAATAGTTACTAATTATTTTAATAATTGATGGCATGCAACTGTAGACATTGCGGTAAGGCTGTTTTCAGGAAACAGGCTATTCAACATGGTTGTTAGCACTTGTGACTACTGGCGCTCGATTTTTACTATATTGGCTATTTCAAAAACAGACTTTTTTGCAACCATGCAGTTTCTGTCTTTGTTATAGATAAACCAATTGTTCCAAGAGGGATCTGCGTTGGTGAATGTTGAAGTGTCGGGTTTCAGGTGAAATATATATCATTGGTATATTTGGTCGCTTGTAATGGATCGCGCAACGTTTCTTCGTCTTCTGGGCGAAGCGAGCGAACCAACTGCCCGAGAACATTAAACAGTCGGAAAAAAACGAAATGTGGGGGCACAACAGTTGTCCTACAAAAACATATAAACTTTAGTTAAACATACAAGGGAGGATGGATTTATCCGATTTCGGAATGTTTAGCCTAGAAGCAAGTATTTCCACATGGCATAGGTTTTTATTAAAGCGTTGTGAAGAACAACGTTTTCTGAATTAGCTGCATGTAGCTCCATCGATAAAATCCCAGAATCTCGATAAAACTTACGATATATAGAAGATGCTTTATATAGCTAGTTGGAATACTCGAAAATGCATGAATGAAAATAAACCTTTTCGGTAATTACGTCACAACATTATCGTTTTAAATTTAGAACCACCTTAAATGAGATGGATTTCAAGTTTTACTCTCACAAGCTATGTGCAAAGATGCAAAACATCCTTCCATAACCCGTGCATGAAAAATAATTTTCATTTTGACTAATAAGTATGGAAATAAGCTATAACGCGAGAACAAGGCTCGCGGTCTTGGCCTATCAGCCTCGTTCTCGTGTTATGGCTTATTTCCACATTAATTGGTCAAAACAAAAAATATTTCTCATGCATTTGTTGAAGAAGGATGTTTTGCATCTTTGCACATAGCTTGTGAGAGTAAAACCTGAATTCCATTTCATCTAGGGTGGTTCTAAATTTAAAACGTTGTGATGTTAAAATATTGTGACGAAATCACCGAAAAGGTCTATTGCCCTGTGCATATTTTTCTGCCCTAACATTTTCTGCCGCGTTAGTAGTAAACAGAATCGCACTATACACAAGAGACTGTAAGTCAAACGGCAAACGTGTTGGCAAAAAATGGCAGATCATGTACCCTCGAAACCTCTTTTCATCTGCGAAGCACCTTCTAGTGAAAATTCTTCGGAAATGAGCTGCGCCAAAAATTTCAATAATTGAAATAATGAAATTATACGCTAGAACTGTCTAACTATGTTTAATTATCTATATGTTCATTTAGACCGGGTAGTATCATAGCTGATCTTATATTGACAACCAAGGGAATTTTCCCTCAAGATATGTACGATACGTTGAGATTAGCCATAGATGCCGGTCAACTGGGAAACCTTCATGTCGCTTTGGTACCAGGTGCGTGGCCTCAACGTCAACACTATTTTTCCTTTTGGCTTGAACTGGGTCCGATAGAGGACCATGCATGCATCTAAACACACTTTCAGTGGAAGGAGACGTGAACGGCAAAGAGGACGTGGAAATGACGAATAAATGGCATGATGCGTGTAATATAGACATGCCACGCTATTTACTCGCCATTTTTACGTCGTCTTTGACGTTCACGTCCTCCGACTTGTTCCATGCAGCAATTTTCCTCCCCCTGAAACATATTGTTGATACATTTTTTATCGTGCATGATGACGTAATGACCAATAAATTGGGTGACAGAAGGTAAAATTTGAAAAATCATTACAAAACTTAAAAACCTAATGAGTCCCACTGGAAAACGCGTATTGTTGAATTATTGGTTGTTGGCCATCTCTAGAATCGAGACTATAATCCTAACTTGTGTCCTAACTTAACCCTAATGCTTACCCAACTACTAACCCTCAACGATTAGACTGGGGATTAAACTAATTAATCCGGACATAGAATTTGCAATTTAATTCCAATTATGTGTTGCATATTTGTTTTAGTTTTGTAAATTTCTAGCCTATATTTCCCCCCATTCATGGTCGTGAAGTATTCTGTTGGTTTTCTTTTGTACAGAAGGTACTGGTGTAAAAGGAGCTACCCCGGGAAGCACACCAGATAGTACCGCAATCACGCCAGAAGGTACCGGAATAACGGAAGTACCCCCAGACGGAATCACACCGGAAAGCACTGGAACAACAGATACTGCACCGGAAAGTACTGGTACCACGGGAGTCACTCCAGAAGGTGCTGGAGCAACAGAACCCCCGCCAGACGGCACTGGCGAGACAGGAATCACACCAGAAAGCACTGGAACAACAGAAACAACACCAGAAGGTGCTGGTACAACTGCAACCACGCCGGAAACTCCCGAAACACCGGAAACTCCGTCGAACGGCGCTGGCACGACAGGAATCACCCCTGAAAGTACTGGTACGACACCAGAGAGTACTGGTACAACTCCAGAGAGTACTGGTACAACACCAGAGAGTACTGGTACAACACCAGAGGGTACTGGTACAACTCCAGAGGGTACTGGTACAACACCAGAGAGTACTGGTACAACTCCAGAGAGTACTGGTACAACTCCAGAGAGTACTGGTACAACACCAGAGAGTACTGGTACAACACCAGAGGGTACTGGTACAACACCAGAGGGTACTGGTACAACACCAGAGAGTACTGGTACAACTCCAGAGAGTACTGGTACAACTCCAGAGAGTCCTGGTACTACACCAGAGGGTACTGTTACCACACCAGAGAGTACTGGTACAACACCAGAGGGTACTGTTACCACACCAGAGAGTACTGGTACAACTCCAGAGAGTACTGGTACAACACCAGAGAGTACTGGTACAACACCAGAGAGTACTGGTATAACACCAGAGAGTACTGGTACAACTCCAGAGAGTACTGGTACAACTCCAGAGAGTACTGGTACAACACCAGAGGGTACTGGTACAACACCAGAGAGTACTGGTACAAACAGAGAGTACTGGTACAACACCAGAGAGTACTGGTACAACACCAGAGGGTACTGGTACAACACCAGAGAGTACTGGTACACACCAGAGGTACTGGTACAACACCAGAGAGTACTGGTACACACCAGAGAGTACTGGTATACACCAGAGAGTACTGGTATAACACCAGAGAGTACTGGTACACACCAGAGAGTACTGGTACTACACCAGAGAGTACTGGTACCACACCAGAGAGTACTGGTACCACACCAGAGAGTACTAGTACAACCCCTGGAACAAGTACAGGAGATGCTTACAACGACGAGTGTCTGTGTGCACACAACCAAAAGAGAGAGGCTCACGGAGTTCCACCCTTGGTGTGGTCTGCCACGATTGCGGCCTCGGCAAAGGTAACAGTGAAAATCTTTGTTAACTCTATAGATTATGATGCTATTTAGTTTATAAAGATGTTTCGTACAATAGCCAGTGCTATATATATCAAATAGGAAAGACCTCGTAGTGTCATTAGGGAGCTTAAAATTTAGGACGGCGCCGGACGCGACAACGACGGCTAAAATAAACGTCTTCAAATTGGTGGTCGAAAAGGTAAACCTCTTGTATATTATAAATCCTGTGAAATTTGTACAATAATAAAACCTAACCACATCGCTTAAAAGATGTAAAACGGTTACCAAACCGAATTTAAAGGTGGACTTGTCAAGGTTTTGAATGCTGGCGTGCTACAGAAGACGCGAGAATCTGTAATTTACCGCATTTTAAAATGAGACAACGCCGTCTAAAACTTCCATAAGCCTTATATGTTTCATTTACTAGCTGTTAGCTGGTCGTCGCAGCTGACGTCGTTGAGCTTATACGCTATACGTACACATAGATATACACAGGGCCGTAGCTAGACCGCTTAATTGGGGGGGGGGGGTGTATATTCATATATTCGTGTTTATCTACCGCAAGAACAATAGCGTACAAAAGAAATCAGTCGGGCATAAGATGAATTTATGATTATACACTCCCCCCCCCCAATTAAGCTTCTAGCTACGGCTCTGGATTTATACAAAAGTAGGTACATTCTAGAGTAGCTTTTTTCAAACATCGCATCCATTTGACGTCAGTAAATTAATCAATTAATTGAAAACTTATAAGTATTAATCAATTAAAAATCAGGGGCCGAGCACCGGAAACAATTTATCTGAGAAATCGATGATTGGGAAGCAGTTAAGAGTTTATACTGTTGCTATAATTATTCTTTTTGCCAAATTCACATGCAATTCAGACCCTATTTTCACATCTACCGTCTGTTTTATGGTTACTGAAAATCTTTCACCTCTTCAGGAATATGCCGAAAAACTGGCCGCTGCCGACAGCACGAATCTTGTCCACGAAAAAAGTGGTTATGGGGAGAATCTCTTTGTTGAATTTGGCAGCGGTATTCCAAAAGAGAAGAAAGGAACATGCGTCAAAGCCGTGGATAATTGGTATGATGAAATAGGAATGTACAACTTTGACAACCCTGGATTTAGTTCAGAGACAGGTAAGTCCCCCTGAATATTATGAATATTACCCAAGATTTCCTGGATCATATGATCATACGAATCCACACAATCTGTATTTAATGAAACCTTCGTACTTGAATTTGTTGAGTTATTGACTTCCCTTGCTACTGAAATGTTGAAGGTTGGTAACTAACTACTTGGAAAAAAATTCGAAGCTGTTGGTAACACAAGTCAATGGTTCATTATTGTTTCACGTGTTTTGCGTTTTCATTCTATACTTACCATTTTATACCCTGCCATTTTATACTTTGCCATTTTATACCTTCTATAAGCAGAACAAAATCTTTTTTCCTTTCGGAAAAGGTACTTTATTGGCCGTTTTACATTATGTATTTAAATTTTAGACATTCTCATTGGCTTTGCCTGAAAATGTAAACAAATTAGCCGATTAGATTTCTTCTTGTTTCTACCAATTGGCAATTTTCATGAGCAGCAATCATCAATTGATTTAGTTATATCTATTTGTGTGATTCATGAATAATTAATGAGGTTTATACTCAACCAAATTTCGTGAATTAGGTCACATGCACACCCCATAAAAATTAGCTTGAATAGATATGCAAGTTACAAACACTAGTGGTTGTGTTGTATTGCAAAAGTATAACCACTAGTGTTTGTAACTGATTTACATATTTATTCATACATTTATATATTTATATATATTTATACGTTTATTTGAATGTTGCTTGAGTTAAGAAAGGCTTACAAAATCACTCGTCTTCGGCTCGTGTTTTGCGCAATTTCCTTGCAACTCTCGCATTATTCCCGCGTGTTTGGATCACGCCATCCAAACACGGAAACCATTAAGTAATTGTTTATTCTAAATACTTTTTCTTATTTTAAATACTCTTTTACTATGTGCAAATTATACGAGTGTCGGGAAGGAAATTCTGCGGAATATGGATGTATTATAGGGACACGTTTCTATTTAAAGAATGTGATCCCTCTTTCGTTCAACAGGTCATTTTACACAAGTTGTTTGGAAAGCCTCGAAAGAAGTAGGTGTCGCCGAAGTTGTCACTTCCACAAATAAGCGTTTTATTGTCGGTCGCTACAGTCCTCCTGGAAACGTTAGAGGACAATTTCAAGCGAATGTCCCGCGGCCCGTTAAAGGTAATATAACGACGTTCGCCATACACACCTGTACTGAGATATCCAGCATACTTCCGGCCAACAAATAGAGCAAAATTGATATAATCAGTACCACGACTTGTATATATTAGCTCATTACTTTATCTGGATAGACATCTTGTGTTCTTGATATTCAAGATAAAACAAGCGTGTAAAGACAGAGTCAATGATATTTCGTCTTTCCAACGACATCGCCAGACCACAAGATGTCTATCTTCGGAATCATTTCTATTAAAGAGCATTATTTATATATTTACAATTTTTTATTTATATATTTTTCAATTTGTGATTATATAGGTTCTCCAGCACCAGCAAGCACTGAATGCATAAATGCGGGATCCACAAACACCCCACATCAAAGGAAGGTGGGGAACCGGTTCCAGAGGCACCTGTTTTAGAACCAAAGCCTGAAGAAACTCCCGCTCCAAGTGAAACTGTAACTCCAAATCCCCTCACTCCAAGTGAAACCGATATTTTGACCCCTGCTCCTCCTGCTTCAGGTGAGACTGGAAGTGTAACCCCTAATCCACTCGCTCCAAGTGGAACTGGTTTACTGACTCCTTCTCCTGGGACAAGCCCGGTTCCAGAGGCGCCTGTTTTAGAACCAAACCCTGAAAAACCACCTGCTCCTCCAGGTGAAACTGTAACCCCAAACCCTCTCACTCCAAGTGAAACCGATATTTTGACCCCTGCTCCTCCTGCTCCAGGTGAAACTGGAAGCGTGACCTCTAACCCACTCGCTCCAAGTGGAACTGGCTTACTGACTCCTTCTCCTGGGACAAGCCCGGTTCCAGAGGCACCTGTTTTAGAACCAACCCCCGAAAAACCTCCTGCTCCTCCAGGTGAAACTGTAACCCCAAACCCTCTCACTCCAAGTGAAACCGATATTCTGACTCCTGCTCCTCCTGCTCCAGGTGAAACTGGAAGCGTGACCCCTAACCCACTCGCTCCAAGTGGAACTGGTTTACTGACTCCTTCTCCTGGGACAAGCCCGGTTCCAGAGGCACCTGTTTTAGAACCAAACCCCGAAAAACCTCCTGCTCCTCCTGGTGGAACTGAAACTGTAACCCCGAACCCTCTCACACCAAGTGAAACCGATATTCTGACTCCTGCTCCTCCTGCTCCAGGTGAAACAGGAAGCGTGACCCCTAACCCACTCGCTCCAAGTGGAACTGGTGTACTGACTCCTTCTCCTGGGACAAGCCCGGTTCCAGAGGCACCTGTTTTAGAACCAAACCCCGAAAAACCCCCTGCTCCTCCAGGTGGATCTGAAACTGTAACTCCAAACCCTCTCACTCCAAGTGAAACCGACATTCTCACCCCTGCTCCTCCTGCTCCAGGTAAAACAGGAAGGGTGACGCCTAATCCTCTCGCTCCAAGTGAAACTGGAGGCGTGACCCCTACATCTCCTGCCTTAGGTGGAACTGGAAGTGTGAGCCCCGCACCTCCTGCCCCAGGTGGAACAGAAACTGTGACCCCTAGTCCTCTCGCTCCAGGTGAAGCTGGAGGTGTTGCCTCCACACCCCCTGCTCCAGGTGATACAGGAAGTGTGACACCAAACCCTCTTGCTCCAACTGATTCTGGAAGTGTGACACCAAATCCTCTTGCTCCAAGTGAGACTGGAGTTTTGACTCCTGCACCTCCTATTCCAGGTGGTGCAGAAAGTGTTACCCCTACCCCTCTAACTCCAAGTGGAACTGGAGACACTACCCCTACACCCCTTGCTCCAGCCGGAACTGGAAGTGTGACCCCTAATCCTCTCGCTCCGAGTGGGACTGCTGCTCCAAGTGGAACCGGGAGTGTGACCCCTAATCCTCTTGCTCCAAGTGGGACTTCTGCCCCAGGTGGGACTGGAAGTGTGACTCCTAATCCTCTCGCTCCAAGTGGGACTTCTGCTCCAGGTGGAACTGGAAGTGTGACCCCTAATCCCCTCGCTCCAAGTGGGACTGTTGCTCCAGGTGGAACTGAAAGTGTGACTCCTAATCCTCTTGCTCCAAGTGGGACTGTTGCTCCAGCCGGAACTGGAAGTGTGACACCTAACCCTCTTGCTCCAAGTGGGACTGTTGCACCAGGTGGGGCTGGAAGTGTGACCCCTAATCCTCTCGCTCCAAGTGGAACTTCTGCTCCTGGTGGAACTGGTAGTGTGACACCTAATCCTCTTGCCCCAAGTGGGACTGTTGCTCCTGGGGGAACTGGCAGTGTTACCCCTAATCCTCTCCCTCCAAGTGGGACTGCTGCTCCAGGTGGAACTGGAAGTGTGACCCCTAATCCTCTCGCTCCAAGTGGAACTTCTGCTCCAGGTGGAACTGGTAGTGTGACACCTAATCCTCTTGCCCCAAGTGGAACTGTTGCTCCAGAGGGAACTGGCAGTGTGACCCCTAATCCTCTCGCTCCAAGTGGGACTGCTGCTCCAGGTGGAACTGGAAGCGTAACGCCTAGTCCTCTTGCCCCAAGTGGGGCTGGGGGTGTGACCCCCACTCTTCCTGCTTCTGGTGAAACTGTTGGTGTAACTCCTAATCCTCTCGCTCCAAGTGGAACAGGAACAAGCCCCTCTCCTATCTCACCAGGTAAACTATTGGCAGCGGATCAGTACCATTAAGCATGCCGATCAAAGCAAATTTATTGTGTTACTACCTTTAGTTATTCTTATACTGTTGGGAGTAGTATATTGGCCTTGATGCCACCCCATGACTGCATACATTTTGTGTCTTGATAGTTTTTTCATAATTTCCAAAAGAATGTTCACATAAAAAATAAAAAAATTCCCTCTATTATGAGGACGTGTTTAACTATCCGTTGGAGTGATTGGACCTTTGCCTTGTGATTTTTGTGTAATGTGTAGTTAGTGCGATCCATAAAAGCTTGTCCTAATTCATATGCAGTTAAACAATATTTAAGAAGGTGAATATCGCTAAATGAAAATCGAGACGAAGATGAGGTTTTTAGAGGCTGTTTACATGAGCCTGGTTGAGATTCAACGAAGCGTTAAATGACTTTGAGGTATTGAACTTTCTTTATGACACCAAGTCTTTATGACACCAAACAAGCGCATGCTATAGGGTGGTCACACGATTCCAGAGGATCGTGTTATATGCTCATTTCATTGAAAAATAATCCCCTTCGTGATTATCCGCGTAATAATCCGAGGTCGCTTGACTAATCCGATGCCAGAAATTTCAATAATCACTTTTGTAATTCTACTAATGATGCTCTTTGAAACTACGTTAATATACTCAGATAAGGCCCAACGAGGCTAGGCGAGGCTTAGTGAATACTATAACTATAGTAACCTAACTAGTTATGCCCGCTGCGGATCGGTAGGGATGGAGACGGCAGCACGGCGAAGCGAACGAGGTTGGCGATGCGTAGTCTTTACTGTCATTTTCAATCATGCGTACGTCCATCAGATATGGAACCTAAACGGTACCCTCTCCATCCCGTGATCACACTGTCACACGGAATCACAGAAGTGAAAGCCGTGGAAGGAAAACATGAACACACACGATGCACACATAGTAAATAATTAGATACATACCGTAGGAGTCTTTGCAAACCAACTGAACCTAGAGAAGCTAAACTAAAAAACAATAAATGGAAACCATTCCCCGATGAGTGGAATGTCAGGAGAGGAAGGCGGGGCGAACGAAGCGATAATAAGCAGATAAACAACAGGGCAAGCCATATAAATACTAAGGCCCGGGGAAAATACCCCCGTGCCAAACACCCGTCTAGGAGCCCACGCGAGGGCCAACTCTTCGATATTAACTTCTTTTATAATACTAATAAATACATTTAGGAATTAGGATTAAATCATGAAATTTAATATATTCTGCATAAATTCTGTTAATTTTTTGACACACTCTATCTCTCTATATTTCGTTAGGTACTCCTCCTAATAAAGGTGCAAAGCTAAGTGAGCCTGCTGATACTCGTCCGAAGGAACCTTACGATCCTAACACGCCAGGTAAGTAAAAACCTCTACACCGAAATACTTCATTTCACATGCTTGTAAACAGACATGGGTAGCACGGAGAACCGGGGCTTGAATCTAATTCGGAAGGTGAATATCCAAATATCTATTTTATGCCCACTGTTTAGCTTACGAAGGGACATTTTGTTAAATAAACAAATTCCGCTAAATTTTTACGTTAAAGGCGATTGGTCGGTCAGACTCGGTCAGCGCGCTTCCACTTCAGTGTAAATGTTGCCGTATACCGTAGGCCGGTATAATTGTAATAATACCACTGTACATGACGAACTCTTTGGTGCTCCTAGGGTTCTCTTGGGCTTTGCGCTTCATTTTCGCCATCATGAATTATCCTTTCAGGCCTTGTTTTCATTGATCACTGACAGTCGGCGATATATTGTTGGTGACCGTTGACGAGGAAAATACAAAATATTTTTTTATTCTCCACTGATATTAGACATCGCCGACGGTCGGTGACCTATCTATTTGTCGTAATTCATCGGCGATATTCTACGATCCATTGTCAGTGCCCAGTGAAGTAAATAATTCTTTTCAATAGACAAAGTGCATCAATGACCACCGACAATAGACATCGCGAATGAATGGCGATATATGAGAACCAGGTCACATATGTCGCCGACCGTCGGCGATGTAGTGTTTGTAGCCGGTGACGAAGCACTTAATTCATCAGTGATCACCGACAGTGGCCATCACCGACCGTCGGTGACATATGAGAACCAGGACTAAGCCTTGTGACGAAGGAAATTTATTCAAAATCACAATAGACATTTTTCATAATGACGTTTGATTGGCTCGATAGTTTTGTGGAGCCAATCAAATTTCGTGTAACATCAGACTCTTTGCGTTTGACGTCAGTATAAGAAAGGTCTATTAGGAACTTCATTCTCCAGTGATCACCAACAATAATAGCCATGCGTGCATCCCCATGACTGTTGGTGACAAAGGCGAATCAGGCTTTTGCATGAAGCCGACAAGGAAAATAATTTATTCAAAAGAAAAAGCATTTTGTCACCGACATCTCATCGTCGAATGTCATGGGTTTCAAATAAGACTGTCTTTATATATAGTATTCATTTTTAACTGAAATTTTAGTTTCAAATAATTTAGATGAGCGAAAGTAAATATAGCCTTGACCACAATTCACCCTTAAATATTGCAAAACCGTAATAATTTAAGTACACCCATAATTCAATGCTCGCTTTTTGTTTTCAGCGAAGTTGCTTAAAGTTGTTCTTGGTTTGATTGGTCAGATATTTAGTGCCGCACTTTCTGATCCTGGCAGCGAAAAGTACCAACAGCTCAAGAATTCAGTTGAACTAGCGGTATGTTCTTGGCGTGTTCTGCTTCAGCCTCGTTCCCAGGCGCTTTTGTGAAAAAAACATATTGCATTTATTACATTCAGCTATTTTGCTGTTATATAGTGTTCAGCTTAGAAAAATCGAGCGCGCGGGGGTGCTTGGGGTGGTTTTGACAAAGGAAGCTTCCTCGCTAAACAAACCCACCTCCACAAACGACAGCCTTGATAAATCTTAATGTCATAATAGAAAAGTCGAGTTAACCTCGTGGACCTGTGGTCTTAATAAACTTTTTGGCTCAACAAAATCATTTATATTTCTGTATATTTCACTAAAAGCTAACAATGCATGTATTAATTCCTTATGATGAATATTTTCTTTACATAGATCATGGCGGCGTACGACGCAATTGAATCTTTCCGTTCAGTCACTGTCACTGGATTTAGGTTAGTTTATTGCCTATATATAGATATTTTTAATAATTAAATAAATGGTCGTACTGACTTTGGCGTTACGGTGGCGCTTGGAATACTGCACGGACTTCAATCCATTTATACTTCATGTTGCCATGGTTCATGGTTCATGGTTCATGGTTCATGGTTCATGGTTCATGGGTGTCCCCAAAAAAGTGAAATACTATAGAAATTATCCTATTGTTATAATTTGTATGCGCTATGCTAAATCCACAGATGCATCCGGTTGTATGAAAGCCGGATAGCACTATCCATTGAATAGTGATTTTTTCAACCTTTCTAAAAATGCTTGAAAAGCAATAAGATTTCAGCTTAGGAACCAACAATTATTAAAGAGGATCCTAAATTTAGGAATAGTCATTTTATGGGGACACCGTATAACGCCACACTATTTAGCATACACCCTTAACTTAGATTTAGAAGATTTAGAAGATTTATAAGATTTATTAGAGAAAAGAGACACTGTAGAGAAAAGAAACACACATACAGTATCCGAATGAAAGTGACACTTTAGAAATTATACCCTGTTGTTGTAATGCCATGGTTAAGACAAGGAAAGAATAATTGTCATAATACAGTTGGTGTGTGATCACAAGCGGCTAATAGGAACAATGAGAGGGGAACTCCCTGTACATTGTACACGCCCTGAGCTAGTGATGTATGTACAGTACATACTATACTATTAGCCTTTCAAAAAGTAATTTTCAACGAATGCAACTGGATTCAATAACGCAGTTTCTCTATTAAAGTTTGGTAAATTTAGAATTCGAATCTGGGACATGTCAACATTACAGCGCCATGATTATTCTATGCAGACAGATTTATAATGATTAGCCCCAAATACAGCGCGCAAAAACCGCTACACCGATATTATCTATCAAACCTTTTTGTAATTTCACGATTTACGCTGTAATCCATTTTTATATTGATAGGCCAGGAGGCACTACAAGTGTAAGAAAATGGGCTCATCTGAGGCGCTCATCCAATCCGTCTAATACAGTAGACGTCGAGGCAGAGCTTGAATTTACCGACGAAAGACCGAACCAACTCGCTCCCTTGGAGAAAGACGTCCAAGATGGAAATTTGAATAATCTCAAAGTTCTACCACAAGTCAATGCAGGTACGCTTACAACGCACTTTATGGCAAACAGAAAATGTATTTTTCAAATTCTAACATCTTTACTAAAGGCATTATATTATCTGCCCTATAATATTGGCTATAGAATAGAGTTTGACAATAGAGTTTAGCTATAGTATATATATAGGACGTATAAAAAAGTGAACAATTATAAAATGTGATGGTACTACTCTTGAGTTACCAACCAGGTAAGCTAAAAGCTTAGCTTCATCACGGTGGAACTGAATCGACCTTTAGGTCTGAACGCGCGACCTTTAGGTTTCCTAGTCCAATGCTCTGAGCTACGTTATTCTATAAATAAAATAGCGTATACATCAGTGAGAATACGTTGAGTTGGAGTAAGTGTTTCTTTGCTCTGTGTATACCATACTAAGGCACGCCGATGTCTTTCATTTAGCGATAATTACCGGCGATACCCAAGACTTCTGTCCACCTTCTTGTACGTCGACCGACATGTGTCAGCAACCCCAGTGTCCCGTAAGCTGTTGCTCCCCACCGGCTACGAATACCTGTCAACAACCAACTTGCCCAAACGCATGTGCTCCAGGCTGCACGATGACATGCTGTTCAGTCGGACCACAAGCTCATCTCGTCAAGAAATCCACAAAAACAAAAAAGAGTTAATTAAACTCTGATTAATCACGGATTGTGAAGTACGGATTTTTTGCATTCAGTAATGCTGGACGATGGCATTGTGTAAATGAACAATATGTTGTATAAATTCACTTGAAGTGCACGATAAAAGTGTTTCTCTGCATTATAATATTTGTAGCTTAAAACAATAGCCTAAGAAAGAATTTTTTGAAGCTTACCCCGCGTGCTTAACTAAAAATTACATCTCGTTATCCATGCATATACTTGAGTGCATTTTCTTCACATTTCAGAATTACACCGAGCCATTATAATCACAAGCATTGATTGTGCGTGTCGGTTCATCACCTCAAAAATACTCATTGTTTGTTTCCTCGATTTTCAAATATAGCATAACTTGTTTAGTTTCGGTCTGTTTTATTACAAAGTTCAAACTTCAGCAAACTTCAAAGTCGCCTGCGACAATATTGTTACAAGCTTGTGTTGCAAAGCTTGTAGCAACCTTGTAGGATAACCTTATCAAACTTGTCAGAACAGTCTTGTAGCAAGTCCGATAATGCCATTAGACTTGCTGTCTAGTTGTTAACAACTAGCTTGTCCCAAACGTGTTACAACAACTTGGAACAAGCAATGTGAACATGCACAACTTGCTGGCAGCTTATCAACAAGTCTAGACTTGTAACAACTTGCATGTTTGCAACCTTGTTACAAATTTTTTTTTCGCGTGGGTGTATATACTTTCGTGCATGTAACGGTTTTCATAAGCAGTTGAATCTTATTTTGGAAAGAAATTTTGAGAGGAATCTGAGTACCAGACGTGTCAAAATACACTAGCGTTCGGCAACCATGAAGAATAACATAACGTGATCAAATTGAATGCTGAAAAATTCGTACAGATCGCGTCGCGCTGCCGGATTACGTCCGGTGCCTGTCGGCCTTAATGATGACGGTGCATGCATGCAGATATGAGAGCTGGAGGCGAGAGTGACGTGAAATCCTGCCAAGAGCGCTGAGCTCTTAACCCGGAGGGATTAATTTATCCATCAGTTTTGACTTGGTTACCCATCGGATTATTTACCCATCAGTTTTGCTGCGTATAAATCGAATCGAGTCGAAGTAACTAGGAGCATCCCCGCTGAGTGAGTCATAATAATCATTTTTGAATATTACAATACGTCGGAAAATGCTTCAGCATGGCGTAACAGCTACGGTAAATATAGCTCGCCATGATTTACAATCCATAATCCAACATATGTGCTCTTATACAGCACCCTTAATCCTTATATTAAAACTTCATGACCGGCTGTTCGCTGTGACTTCAGTATTTATCTAAAATGGAAGTTTAACGACAGGTTTAATCGTAAAATCTGATGGTAATTTCTTTTCAAAGTCGTTTGCTTAAGTGAGCACGTCTATATTTGAGGTTGTCTTAATAAATAATGCATGCATAGCAACTGAAATGTGCATATCACGATATCAATAACAAAGCTTCGACGTATTCATTTATTAATAGCCTGAGATTACATAATATATAACATTTTCACCTGTTTTCCCATACGCGAGGTGAGAGATAAATCGTGAAGGCATAGTCCTTGGATGCGTAATAATAAATTCAATGTGAGTGATCTATAATTGCGAAACCTACGCGAAAATCGGTTTTCGGATATACCGTTTTATATTGCTAGGTTTTTGTGGTATTGTAAATATTGAATCGCCTCAATCAGATTCAAAAACCCTGCTCAGACTCATTGGGCAAACATGTCAAACTTTTCCCTTCATGCGAACCTTTCGTCTAGTTTTTACTTTGTCGTGTATCGTGGAACGTGGGTATCATGAAACTTAATTCTCAATCGATCGCGAACATGTTACTTGAATGATGACCATTTCTACCGTTTCGTGGCCCTATATACTATATAGATATATGTATAGAATTGGGCTACTACACGCAGATATATATGTTAAAAAATCCTTAAAGCTCAAAATTTACCCGTTTCGAAATTCCTAGTGTGATCACAAAAACTATGGCCTATGATAATATTACATATCTATATCTGCCCGAAGGTCATGGTCATATATATCCTTATCTGCCCGAGGGTTTGAAACACTTTTATCGGCGCAAAAATTATAAAACAAGTGGCTCGAAGAACGGTTTTCGATATCACATGCAGGAAGTCTGCATATAGCCTACAAAATGTATGCACTTAGCCTTTATTCAATACCTTCCAGTTGGTGTGCCTATATATATATATATGACTATAAAAACTACTTGTAAATTGCCTGCGTGGTCACAGACTTGACTGATTTTAAATTTTATGTACGATGCAATTTAGTATAGCTTGCGCGATGCTTGAATTATGAACAATCATGCACATTTACGTCAAGCTAAGCGCGCGATACACGAATGCATGCACGCATGTTTACACACGATACACGCCAAAAGTTCCCGCGTTGTCTAGCTGTAACATTGTCTAATATCTTCGGCCTGTGATATGTGGAGTGTGTGGCAACAGCATTGACGCAATTTTGACCGTTTTATATCGCGTGATTTGTGAATAGTGTCAAACCTTTCGTCACGCTTTATGGCAAACTGTGATGGAGAGTGAGTTGGATCGAGTTCCACGGCCAATGCCGGTTTTTTATTAACGGCTGTATCGCGTTGCTATTATTGCTATATATTTCAAATCAAATGATTTAAGAATACATTAGAAATTCATTCCGCTGTCAAAGAGGATAAAATATAACGACGTGAAGGTTTTGGAGATACACTTGACCTAAATATAAGTATATTAAACTATTAAAGACTAATACGTTTTAAAGTTGAACTCAGGGTTGTTATATAACTTTGTGGCTCTATGCCGTTTCGTCTGAGAATGGGCAGTAGAATTAGCACAAATAACAATTCGAATGGCGAAATGAAAGCGCCGCATTCGATTAAATCCCGCGGAAAAAACGCCGTTGTCGATCTTCAAAGGGAACTGTTGGAACGGGACGATTTACTCACGAAAAAAGACGCCGAAATTAACAGACTTAGCGAGGAGTTGTCAAAGCGTAACCAAGAAATTACTCAGCTCCAAAAACGTATTCATGAATTAGATTGTGTCGTGCAACAAACGTCAAGTTCGAACCAGCCTAAGTTGGGCGAACTGCCTAAAATTGTGGAGGAAAAACCAGCCCTTGTTAGGACAAACTCTATGAAATGGAAAAGGCAGGCGGTTAGTGGTGAAAGTAGTTCAAATATTCGAAGACAAGAATCAAATAGGGAGTTATTGAAGTTTTCCAAAGATTCGAGGTGAGCAAACAATATACCTTATGTATATGAATATTTATCAATTACACGTCGCGTCCATATAGCGCCGTGTATAAGTAGATTGGTCGTCACACGATGAAGGAAAGTGTCTGCGGTACATTAATTCATATATACCCGTGGAACAAGCGCATGCATGCATTGATGCATTTATATATATAGACCGCGACTTCTTCATTCAGTTCGTTTTTTGGTTCAGGACAGCGCCAACAATCTTTCGCGACTCACATTAAACTTGATTTACCTTTATGTTTGAATTTAGTTAAAAAAAACTTTTTATAAACTGAACGAGAAAGAAAATTTCAAATAAAAAAAATGACACCGAGCGCATGACATGTTTATATATCGTTCTGTTGCGAAGATGCGTTGCCCACAAGTCACAACTGCAGCTGGCTTTTGTGTGAAAGTTCTAAGTTTTCCTTAAATCCACTCGATGTTATGATCTACAGACGCAAACACTGGCTAAAAAGAGCCCAATTATGCACAAGTCAGCCAAAAACATATGTAATCTCAACATTTTATGTAATCTAAACATTTTATGTAATCTCATTTTCTATAATTGGCTGCCATCTCCTTTTCGAACGAACAATTGTCATCATATATACTAGCTAGAGGCGAAGGCATTTCACTTTCAAACTCTCGCAGACAAATCGCTTTTATAGCATAGACATATAGTTACACTGGGTTTATCATTCTATCAAATATCAATTGAGATTAAAGCTTCAGATTGTGCCAAACAAACAATTTGATTTACATCAATCTAGCGGAATAAAACATATGAAGAAATCAACATCGCTATATATATTAAGCCACAAAGGATTAAATTTTGCCAACAAGTTCGGCTACATGCAAATTCGAAATATATCTGTAAATCAACAACGTCACATGTTTGCCGCGAAAATGTCAACATAATTGATCAATCGATGATGCGATAAGATTTTAATTAAATTTATTATCATCCCCTTAAACACGGCGGGATTTTGAGAATTCAAGCTATCAAAATCTGTAAAATGGAAAAAAATTTCTTAGACGGTCAAAATGTATTGCATGTCGCCCAGGATCTTGCTCCGTGGTGTGGTGGTTCAACTAGTTTTCATTTGTTTTGGTCAAAAAACTGCACCATTCCTGCAACTTCTTTTAAAATCCATGACTGAAAACGCATGCGTGAATAATAAAATCCGTGCATGTGATTCGCCAACTGGACGCGATGTCGATCATTTCGATAGTGACAAGCCTTAAAAATGAAAAAAATCAGACTCAAAATTATTTCGAGGTAAAAAAACTGCGTATAGGCACCTTAATTGTCAACATGAAGTGGCGCAGAGCATTTGGAATGAACGAGTATTTTTAAAGAGGACCAGAAAGGGCTTTATTTATAAAATTAATATTTAAACCTTTTTTTAGTTCTAGGCATTTGATACGTGATGCAATCTGTGCGAACGATTTTCTTAAAAATCTTGAAAAGTTTCAAGTACGTGAAATCGTGAGCTGCATGTACCCGAAGGAATATGATAAAGATAACTATATCATCAAAGAAGGAGAGATTGGGCACGCTCTGTTTGTAATATCAGGTACACATTCCTATTTTCAGGCAAGATGTATATATAAGTATAATACAGTTGTGCATTGACCATATTAAGTAGTGTGCCTACAAACTGCATGATAATTCTATATTGTTGTTCGCCATACAAAATTACAAGATTATACTTTTGCTGCTATCCATTTTCGACCATATCCAATAAGCAGTTATCGTTCAAGTATGTATGTTCACATGCAGAAATCAGGACGTGGTTTTCTTTTTAACTGTTTAACTGTTTTATACTAATATACTCCCTATAAAGAAAGTCTTGTTCGTTTAGATGGGAAACTGGAAGTTACAAAAGACAACGAAGTATTGGGAGAAATGTCAAGTGGAACGGTATTTGGTGAATTGGCAATATTGTATAATTGCAAACGAACGGCTTCTGTAAGAGGTCAGTGCATGTACTCAATGAATATCATAGCTTATAGTAGCCTATTATCTACATGCAGCTTAGTATTTTTCACAGCTTAGTATTATCCAGAGCCTCAGTATTATCCACAGCTTATCACTAATGTTTTAGTCATGCGCGCCAGATTGTTCGAAACAAGATGGTAGCAGTGAGAAAAGCTTATAGATGACAACGGACATAAAACCGTTATTATGCCCCATAAACCGTTTACAAAAACACATTTTATTTTGAACATTTGTTAGTAAATTTACTGTATAAAATGAACGCCATATTCTTACGTCTGGTTTTTGACAACCTACAATATAATGTACAAGAATGACCTTTTTAAAATTTGTCACTCATGTTGAATATCTGGTTCAATAACTTGCAGCGAAAGAACACTCAAAGCTATGGGTGATCGATCGATCAGTTTTCCAAGTTATCATGATGCGGACTGGTATTACAAGGCTTAAAGAGCACATCCGGTTTTTGAAAAGGTATTTAAAACATATTATTAATTTAGAGGCATTATACATGCATATCAAATGAATTATTTTCGTTTTCAATGACAAACATGTTTACATTTTTCAGACCAATCCAATCAGAGTGCCCAAATTTTAAATACGTCATGTAAAATGGCAAATAATGTATTTTTTACCGGAAGTAGTCAATATTTATGCTTCTAATTGGTTTATTGAAAATGTAAACAAATTTGTCGATTGGTCTAAAACGAAGTTCCTTCTTATTTTTTACTATAACTACAAAGGTTATAATTTGAAAATACCAATTTGTTGTAGAAAATATTTTTTTACAAACGTACGCGTAAACAAATCTCGACAAAGACGACAATATAATTCTGACGGCGATTTAAAAATTTAAACGATATTTTATGGTGGTCAAATAAAGTTAACCACCATTCTGACAACGTAGCTTTTAATTTGAATTAATTTGGGAGGATGCTTTACCGCTTCTTTCGTTGTTTCATTTTTTTTCTAAAATCTTCATTTGCAATTTCACAAAAACAACTCGCCGTCATTTTGAAACATCCGCTTAGCTTTAGGTGATGATCGCGTAACAATCCGAGGTCGCTCGAAATTTTTCAATAATCAACCAATAGTTATGCTATATAGGGTATATATTTAAGCCTCGTTTACATTTACACGGTTCCACGAATTCGCTCATCACGACATCGCTTGCCGTTATGGAGCAATTGCTTCTAGTATTAATGGTGGATGGATGTGTTTACTCTCGGACTTTAAAAATCTTTCTTGCTTTTATTACCAACATATTTTTTTTTCACCTGTTTTGTAAACAGGGCCTAGATTGTATCGCACTCCTGCACCTTGTCATGACACCGCGAGAAATAAACAGCAGCTGTCTCCTAAGTCGCCCATATAATGAGAGAGCGAGGACTGCGGTTGAGCACATCATCATGTACAATTAAATCATTATCTTCGTAAAAATAATTAAGTAACCAAGAGGGTCGTATAAAACAATTCGCTTGAGTGCGGTTTCTTGAGGTTTACAGGGTTACGATAACAATCTTGCAATTAAGACTTGATCTTTTACTAAATTTCAATTGCAATTTGAATTTTTCCACGCAACACATTTGTTGACGATCGTCAAACCGACGCCAAAATGTCTAACTTGCGGAGTATTTGAGGAAATTAAAGCGATGATACAAATTCCTTCATTCTGACATTTTATCATGGATTCTTTAAGAGTTGACATTTACCACGTAAAGGCTGCTTTCCACTGTCGCGTTTTTTTACGCGTGGAAAATTTAAATGCTTCCAAATTGTTATTATTTAACATTTGGTTAACAATTGCATACAAAAATATTCGACACTTAATGTATGCTTCCGAAGGAAATAGTGAGTTTTGTTTTCTTAGGAGTCTGAATGTTGAAACATTGAGACTCGAGGGAAAACAAAACTCACTATTTCCCGAGTGTACATTAAGTGCTTTGTTATATAGTAAAAAAACCCCAGACATGTTACACAACAATTTCATTTAAAAAACACTTTACAGTTTGTTATGACAATATGAGGGCAACAATTTTTCCCTTTTTTCCCAGGAGGGAAACATTGCATTTATTTAAAGTCATGTGACTACGAATGAACCAGTCACATTTAAAATACACAGCACCTATATAAAAATTCGATTTATTCATCTAGCTTTTTCAAATATGACATACATTCATTTAGACTTTTACCTGCGAGCTCAGTATTATTATCATATATATCGCACCAAAAATATCTCAAGGCTAAATTCTGATATAACATTTAAATTCAATTAAAATGATATCAACTCTCTCACTCATATCCCTAACTATCCTGCGCATATCCATTATCGTATCGCCTTAAAGCTTTGTTGTCGAATGGGTTGGGCCTATTTGCACTATTTGAGATTTTTTATGGCGCGTCAAGTATTATGTTCATATATTTAGTTGAATTTGAAAATTTACTAAATTCATGAATAAAAGCTTGAAGCAAAATGACTACTATTCTTATCTCCCTTCCCAGACCACAATGCGTTTTTGCCATGCATGATGCATAACCAACAAATCATGTTTAGACGACTGTCAATTGTAGTATGCATGGGCGCTCTGTATCCCGGTTTTCGAAATACTACCGAAAAAATGCCATGCAGAGCGTTTCGGCCCATCCTATTTTACTATATGGCACAGTATATGAAGAGCAAAAATTCCCCATTCTCTAACACCATGCACGCATTAATAAATAATCGTGCAATAATCTAGCATTCAAACGTGAGAGTTTTCATTTCTTGCAATTATTAGGCACACGTTTTGATCAATACCGTTTCAGTTCTTACAATTATGAAACACACATTTTGGGAAATATTGTTTCTGATTTCTTACAACTATGATTTGGTCAATATTGAATGTCCTAACATCCAGCTTTTTAAACAGCGTGTCACTGTTGAACAAGTTGCCAGAAGAAAAATTATCCAAAATCGCAGATGTCTTGCAAGAGGTATAAATAATATCATATATATAATTCAGCGCAATTCTACTGAATTATTTTGTTTATGAACTGGTCAAAAGATCATTTGGTATAGATATATAACATTGAAAAGGCTGCAAAAATGAGTTATAATTAATTACAGGTAAGAAGGCGAAAGCGTGATAATAGCCCGTGAATATTCTGTACTATTCTGTACTGGTATGTAGTAACCCTGAATTCTGTACTACATGTGTTTACACCCTCAGCCAAATGGAGTTTCTTCACAGTAGAAAAGGCCTATTTTCGCCTGCTCATGTCCCATTATACCGGAGAAAAACTGAGTCAGCATTCAGTTGCAAACCAGGGAATGCGGCCTCTTTGTTGAACGTGAAGCAAAGGGTGCCCATATACGGTGCACAGTACCTAAACAAGCAATGGTATCCAAAATACGTACAGCTAGATTTTTTTGTCTTCGCTGATTTTGAAACTATTAATATTATATTTCACTATATGAATGCACTTAGGAAATCTCTGACGAAGGGACAGTTATAATACGTGAAGGCGAGCATGGTGATACATTCTTTATCATCAGTGAAGGAACGGTTGGTATAATACATGCATAGTGTACATTATGACCTAGTATACTGGAAATGAAGTGTAGGCAGAACGAATACTCTGAGAACGAGTTTTGGAAATGATATTGACCATAATCCCTGATCCATTGATCCCTGACTAATAATTATTTTAGGTTCAAGTCACACAAACAGTAAACAATTCTGACACTCCTCAGCTTGTCCGGAATTTAAAGAAGGGCGACTACTTTGGTGAAAGAGCGTTATTGAGGTGGGTAGCCAGCAGAGTTATGATCATAGTATAAGTGTTAAATTGAATGTTTAGAGTGAGAAAACCATTTCAGAGGAAACGTCTTGACCATAAAGATAGCAGTTTCACGTTCAAACGATGAACGGCAAAGTTTCGCATATAAAAATAATTGGACTGAGTTATTGTCGACCTTGGAACTGCTTTTTAAGTTGGAAATGAAAATGTAAAATGAAGGCAATATTGTTGCAAGAGAGAGTGGCTCAGGTTTAGCTCTTTTAATTTTTTAACTCCTCCTATAGTTGCATGCATGTGCGTATCGGAAGACTCTCCTATAGACTATACTCTCCGCAGTAGATTTGATAGGCGGCTTATCTTCATCAAATATGGTAATTATACGGTAAAAATTGAAACTGAACGTATGTCGATATGCGAAAAAGAATCTCAGGTCGAAACGACAAGAGGTTTTTGTCTATACCCAGTTAAGGCAGATATTACTACCACATTCATGAGAAGTTATTTCGAGGATTCTGCCACGCTACTGTTTGGTAAAATTGTACTGAACAAAAGTTTGGTATCTAAAATAACCTTTTTTTTCCCTTTAAGTGAGGACAGAAGAACAGCTAATGTAATCGCTGGGGAGAAAGGTGTGACCTGTCTAGTCTTGGAGAGAAGGTATATTTCAAGTCGATCAACTACATTCACATACTGTCAATAAGTTAAGTTCGAAAGTTGAACAATTAACACACATGTTACCGGGAAAAAATCCAGAACAGTTGTACAGGAGACCAAACCTGGTATCCGAAGGCTTCAAACTGCTCCGTTGATGTTTCCAGAAAAAAGCATGACGTTCGGTGAAGGTTGAATTGAATAGAATTGCATGTAAAATAAATCGATGGTTTGCTGAATTTATTTATGCTACAATTTATATTTATTGCAAATATAATAATTTCTTCTCATTGTCAGTGCATTTAACGAACTGATTGGTGATCTGAATGAGCTGAAAGAGAAAGATTATGGCGACGAAGAACGAGGTGCAATCAGGTAAACGTAACATCATCTAGGCAGTTTTTCAGACTTGTCCCAGTCGTTATTTTGCAAATTTACTATATTTTAGGCCATAACATTCCCAGTCAGGCATATAGCCCACAGCCTCTAAAAAGCCTCAGCTGCCTGATCAAATTTAAACGACTGTTAAATACAATCGATAAAAGACAAAAACGACTGGGAACGCGTCTGGCAATTTTTGATGACGCGTATTGTCATTTTACAGGAAAACTAAAAGCAACGAAACGCGTATAAATTTTACAGGAAAACTAAAAGGGACCGCGGAGCAGGGTGGCTCGCTGGGCTTTAGCCCAACCAATAAATTTTTCCGTAAATTAGTCTTTAATTTCGAATATTTTTTAGTTCGCTCAAATTTACAAGCAATATTTTTAGCAATTAGTATTTTTTGCTTACAAGTATATGCAGTCGTATCTTGAATACTATCGTAACTTTTACTTCTTCAACGTATATTTTAATAACCAATTCCAAAAAATGAGTATTCTAATTTCCAACGATATCTGTCGTAATAAATCCGTCATGTTTACAAATTGATTGAAATAAGTTATGTTGAGTATATATGTTTGGCCAAAATAAAAAAAAAACAGAGACAAAACAGGACAGGCATTTGACCATTAAGACAGCGTGGTTATCCATGTCAAAATATTTGACATTATAACCATTAACCAAAGCATGGTTATATTGTTTAATGTTTGTATATCACCACAAAATATGCTTGTAACTTTTCATTGAAACGGCATTTGACCATTAAAACAGCGTGGCCAGAATTAGATGGTCGAGTGTACCATTTTCCGGTATATTCCACCATGGTCGAGTATGTCGTTTTCCATACGTCAAAATATTTGACATCATAACCAAAGCATGATTAATGTTTGTATATGAGCACGAAACATGCTTGAAACTTTACAAAGTATCTACTATTTCCCAATAATGCTTAAATTGAGTGGCATTGCGTCCATTTCAGAGGCTTATGTTTATTTCAAATTTTTTCCGGACTCTCCTAGCAGGCGCGCGGTTCCGAGTCCCAGCAATACAAAAAACGCTTCGCGGCCCCTGTAAAAGCAACGAAACGATACAATGATCTATTCAAATCTTGTTCATTTTGCAAAAAACAGTAATTAGGTAAAATAAACAGCAAAATGGGCCAGCTATATAGAGATCGCGCAAATATTCTGAGAACTCAGTTTTTCAAGTTATGACGATACACATGAATATTGAAAACGGGAGCTGTAAACGTACACAATTCTGCATGTTACTTATGAACGCTCAAAATTGACCCCAAAAGAATCCTTGGTTCAAATTTACCCTAAAGCGGCTCTTTTACAGTCGCTTTGGCCCGTTTGAATTTACATTGAATTTTCAACACAACTTAGATTCGCTCCATCATGCGAAAACTTGACAAACATCGGAACGGTGGCAAGGAATATTCCCAAAGAAATTGTGGAGTTGGGCCTAAACGATATCACGATTATAGCCACGCTTGGGGTGGGAGGATTCGGACGAGTTGAATTGGTATGTTGGGCCTTTCCACTATCTAGGAAAAAACTTTGAAATTTATTTTTAAAAACGATTGACTGATCTCTCGTCTCATGCAATCTGCCTTATTCTCCTCAAAGAATTTTCTAGGAAAATATTTCTGAAGTGCAATTTGAAAGTGCTAACTTTACTCTAGGTTCAAAGTAAAAAGGACAAGAAAACTTTTGCCTTAAAATGTTTAAAGAAGAAACACATTGTTGACACGAGACAACAGGATCATACTTATTCAGAGAAGAAAATTCTCATGGAGTCATCTTCATCATTCATTGCGAAGTATGCCTGCCAGTGCATGTGTAGTAAATTATGTACAGTGTAGGGCATATATCCAAAAATTTTAATAGATCATCTCTAGAAGAGGGAACCTGTAGTTTCTCAATCTCTTAGCATTAGAGATTAGGTCCGTAAAGAGAGCGAAGTGGTCTGTAAAGTTTTATTTGAGGGCCTTTTTATAAAGTGAGAGAAAAAAAAATTAGGAATCAGTAAAAACGCATGCAACGCATCAACCATATTAACAGGTCCTTAAATTTTTTTCCCACAAAGACGAAAGGAGCGCTCAATATGAAACATCAACCAGAACATTTTTGAGGAGCCCAATCTGGGAAAAGGGTAATTTTTTACTGGCACTATTGGACTCATTTTTTAATTTGTGTATTTGTTATTCGCTTAGATTGTACAAAACATTCAAAGATGATAAATACGTTTACATGCTACTGGAGGCTTGCTTGGGCGGCGAACTCTGGACGCTGTTGAGAGACAAGTATGAGTGTAATATGTATTGATGCATGTCTAGATGGATGAAAAAAAATCCCGAATGCAACATGTAGAATGCTTCGAATGAATGCATTATTGTTCATTCCCTACTAGGAATCATCTTATATTCCAGTTAGGCGTATAAACATACCTAAACATTATACCTGAAAAAATTATTTACCCCGGCTCCAACGCATTAAAATTTAAATGCACGATGCCATACGCGTTGTACAACATCTCTGATATACATGCATGTGATTAGTATTTTATTCAATTACAGAGGCAATTTTGACGATACGGTTGCTCGTTTTTATGTTGCATCGGTGGTTGAGGCTTTTTCCTACCTTCACGGGAAGGGAATTGTTTACAGAGATTTAAAGGTTACTAAAATAACTTTTGTTTTCTGCATGGACGTCTGTAGGAATAATACAAGGGCAAAGGGAGGCCAATTTTGGTGAAGGGGACAATTTTGAGCGGGGTATAATTAATAATGTTTGCAAAGCATCGTCTGTTGAACAGTTGAATCGTATACTTGCATCTTTTTGCGTTTTAAATTCGATAGCAAAAATTTCCCAGGTTTGCATATATGTACATTTGGGAGGATTTGTAACAAGGAGCACTATAAACGCCCTGCTACACCGTGCAACTTCTACTGCATTTATACTTTCAAGAGATGTAAATTAGTGTCTTTGGGATGTAAGTGAAAGAAATGTCCGTGCAGTGTAATAAACACAATACAAACCAGTTCATCTGAGATCATGACGTCATAAAGCGTCTCGACAAAACTGAGTTATCATGTGCCCGGTGTTATTTGTCCTTATTCTTCCAGCTAATAGTATAAAGGATGAAAAATTCAAATTCTAATATGCAGTTGGGAAAAAAAAATAAACGCGTTTTTACATAAATATAATAAAATTACTTGATATTTTCGAGGGTCGAATATGCAATGAAGGAAATGATAATTCAGTTTTGTCGAAGATTTGGCTTCAGATTGGTTGATTTTTATACCCAAATCAGCTGGAAGTACCATACTTCTATATTGCATTCTAATTTTTTAGTTCTGCTGTGATTGCACTTCCAAAACCGTTTTGAACTTTTATGATTTTACCGATTTTACTAAAATCTTTGCAAATTAATTAATTAAGCTATTTAATTAACATTATAAAATAACATGTATATAACACGTGTTCTGATTGGTCGAAGCCCATGTTTGGATCAGGCCATCCAAAACCGGAAACCATTAAGTAATTGTTTATTACTATATATTGTTTTACATCTATAGCAATGTTGTACACTGTTCTGATTGATTTTTAAAAATCCAAAATTATGTTCTTATTAAACATTTAAGGTCTGTTCAAAATATATGTTCTGACCAAACAGCTAATGCTGACATTCCTTTATTCGCATTTTGGTACAGATATGTCGAGAATTCTTATTTTCAAACTGAAAAAAGTTTTTGTACAAATTTTTATTTCAGCCGGAAAATATGCTCCTGGATGGTCATGGCTTTGCCAAGCTGGTAAGAAATTTGTCCCCCTTGCACGTTCATGGTGTACTCATTAACCGAAAAAAGGTTTAATCGGTATAGATTTGCAAGGGCTTTACTGTAAAACCTATTAGAGCTAATGAAGTTATAGTACATGCCATTTTGCCCTGGAAATGCCTTTATAATGCGAGACAAATCAATCCACATTCTCCGACCACATCCTATTCGTTTCAAACATTTGCTTCCTTCTAGTTTCAAATGAGAGTTTCTGCCAATATATATCAACCTCCTAGTTTATACCTGTATACCTTTGGTGTAATTCTGATATACTTCCCCCTGATGCATTTTCACATGTAATAATTAAGGCTGTAAAAACACAAACCAGTCACATCTAAATGTTGATAAGTGCATGCATGAATTACGTAACCTCTACGAATATTCAAGAAGATTTTTTTTCTGGCAGGTTGACTTTGGATTTGCGAAAAAAATAGGATTTGGCAACAAGACCTGGACGTTTTGTGGAACTCCTGAGTATGTTCCACCTGAGATTATCTTAAACAAGGTAAATTAAACATGTTAGGCCTGCACCTGCGAAATTAAAGAACATTATTATGCCCTTTTACAGGCCAGTTTATATACGCAAATTTAGGTGCAATTTTATGTAAAATTTCAACTTTGGAACCAACAATTATTAAAGAGGACTGCCCGGTGGATAGCGCTATCCGGCTTTCATACAACCGCGGCTCGTGATGTATAAGAGCTCCTATTTGAACAACAGTAACTCGTTCACATCTATCAAAAGAGGAAAATCGCAGCAAAAATCGCAAGTGTAAACGGGCCTTACGTGAGTTTCACTTCAGTGTTAGGCTGTATAACACATAGTGCATGTGCATTTTATATATGCACTTTGTTTGCATTAGTCATCACTAAGGGATCAACTACGGTTTCTTTGGGCATATCCAGTATGTCTTAAACCGACAAAGTATAGGTATTGGTATCCGGAATTTTGTTTGGACAGCTGGAGTTAACACTGATAACCATGCACGCAACATATAATTGAGTATACTGGGAGGGTTGAGGCCACGACTGTGATAATACTAAATTATTCGTATCAATGAACACACAAAAATTTAGAATACTATGTAACAGCTTGGAAAAGTATCCAAAATACTTAACCTGCCGACCGCCGGATCCCGGTTGTAATGACTTTGGTTGTAGTGATTGTAATGGATGATTGTAACCATGCAGTTGTAATGATTGTAACCGGTTGTAATGATATTATCAGGTTCTCTTTGTTTTGCCACATTTATGCAAAATATAGTTTTAATTTTAGGGGCATGATTTTTCAGCTGATTATTGGTCACTTGGCATCCTTATCTTCGAGTTGGTAACAGGAAAGTAAGTTTTTGGATAATGCATGCATGCATGGAAGTGAGGTTAAGTGAGGGTCCTTTAGGCTTTAGTGAAATATCCCTTCTGGGGGAAAGAACCGAAGCTGTAAACGAGCGACTTGTCGACCTATTAATTTTTGCTAATCGGACAAAGACAAAAGTAATGCGTTGGGACCGGCCGTGGTTAATACATAATCTTTTATTAATCTTTAGCCCTCCATTCACCAGTAATGATGCAATGAAGACATACAATATCATACTTCGTGGTATGGATGTTTTAGAGTTCCCACGTAAAGTCAGTAAAAGTGCGGGTAACCTCGTCAGGAGACTGTGCCGTGATAGCCCGACCGAACGGCTCGGGTACCAGAAAGATGGCTTGCACGACATCAAAAAACACAAGTAAGTTTATGATTATTCAACAAATAACTGAAGAAAAAAACTTGGGTTGGCTGCATCTCCCAGGAATGAAAATTGGAAATATCTTGGATTTTAATAATTTGAAGTAGGAAGTAGGTATTCTTACAATGTATATCAGTTTTAACTCCTGTGCGTGGTGCCAAGGCCGTCGCTAGAAGATTAATTCGGGGGTGTATATTCATATATTCATGTTCGTACAACCATAGAAACAATAGCTAAAAAACGAAATGTGGGGCATAAGACGAATATATGAATATGCACCTCCCCCCTCCCGCCACCTCCCCCTTCCCGCCAATTAAGCTTCTAGCGACGAGAGCATGTTTATTAAGCCGGTTTTCCACTAGCGATATTTTTCGCGCGAAGCAACATTTTACTTTTGTTCCAGAGCTCTCAACTGCAATCATTTGGAACAAATTGCTCAAATACAAAGGAATAAAGTCGCTTCGCGCGAAAAATATCGCTAGTGGAAAACCGGCTTTAGTATTGGTTTCTAATTCGTTTTCCATGGCAGAAAGTGAGTTGCCGTTCTATCTTATAGATTTCATCTGTTTGACATACAATACATCTATTGTTTTGTTCCAGGTGGTTTCAAGGATTTCATTGGCAAGGTCTTGTCGATCGCTCAATCGAACCTCCATACAAGCCTAAGGTACCGATTTTTTGTTGTATTAAAAAATTAATTAAAAACAAGACGCCGTTCTGGCGTTAACTCCGGCGCACGTGCCAGTCTTCAATATAGAGCTTCTGAACATAAACAATACAGTTCGCGTATTGTTTCGCATACATATTCGCATTTAGATGCCTTGCGAACCTAAATGTTCGATCGCGAAATTCAGAAGAACATCGCAGTATAGAAGTTCAATTGTTCAAAAATGTAAATAAACCGTATGATACATTCGCTTCGTCTTACTTTGCTTTGGAATTCGCGCTTATATAGTTGTATTAAATCTTCGATCCTGTGCAAACTACGCGACGTGTCAACGCGCCCATACACGACCACATCATCTTGTTAAACGGCAAAATAGCAGCGATATTATTAAAATAGGACCGGGTCTACATGTATTAAATATATTCTTACCCCAATTCAATCTAAACTTAATCGAACAGCATGAAAAGAACGGTTTATTTGTTCCTCTTGGAGGAATTGCCGTATCATGCGAGCGAAATCGAATCGCGCATTGGAAAATTAGCCAAAGCTGTGCACCACAAGTCTTGGGAGATAAGACTGGGACGTAGATAAATACGGTCACATACATGTTTTAAATACTAGTATATTTCGCGCCATTACAGACTTGCGACGACGAAAAATAATAAAAAAAAAATAAAAAAAAAAAAAACAAAAACAAAACAAAACCGGGGCGAATTTTCAACTCCGTCGCTGACGCCGGAGTAATTAATAATCCGTTTTTTATTTTAAAAGTTATCAGGTTACCTCAGTCAATTGTGCACGAGAGGAATGTCTACAATTTCAACAATTCATGTCATTTCAACTAATTACTTATATCATTTCTTTCCGTAGCTGACTGGTCCAACGGACATATCGAACTTCGATCCATTTATTCCAGAGAAGGAAATACCCCCAGACGAATTTAGTGGTTGGGACGAAAACTTCTGAGAAATCATCGAGATAAGGAAATACCCCCAGACGAATTTATTGATTGATTTTATTGAATGATTGAGACGAAAGCTATGAAAGATCATTTATATATACATATATATAAAGAAGACACGTACGAAAAACACGGCTGTGAAATAACGCTCTATAGCGTTATAGTATATGGTATTATACGTGTGTACCATAGTCCATGCATAAACCGAACCCGTCCTTCAACCTCTCTAATAGAGAGGGCAATTTCTGTTCAGCAAAGATTGGTCCATAGACATACAGGCCAAAAAAAAGTAGCGGAGGGGGGGGGGGGTGATTTAAGTACCATACCATCATTTCTTCCTCTGCATGTCCAGGATAGTATACTGTTTGTACAATACACTTAAAATATCGTGACCACACTGTCAAGTCATCATATGAAGTCATCAAGATCACATATGACCAGCAACTGAATAATTGTACAAAATTAACATGTTCAACAAGGTTATAAATGGTCCACCAGACACAGAACTTAATTACAATCTTGGCAATAATTAACATGGACATCGCGTGCGTAGAGAGAACCATTTGTTAATTTCAGCATAAATAACCCTTCGAAAATGTTCATCCCTATCCTACCCCCTATCCAATGTTGGCAAACTATTAAGCTGGCAACCGTGTCATGTTTAATCTTTAAACAACATTGTATCGGGGGAGTGGCATGGGGACTTCTTGCCTTTAGAAGACCTCGACGTCTCTAATTGATTGAAAAGTGAAGTGTTCACATGATTATTGCCAGGATTGTAGCTTTTTAACTATTATGAAGCCTGTTTGTAGAGTGAACAAAAAAAACGACTGGTACAATGTGAATTGAGAAATGTTTGAAACGACAAAACGTGTGGAAATTTTTATTAAGGGGCTAATGAGCTCAAAGTTGCCAAAATTATTTTAATTTTAGCGAAAGTTGCTTTGTTTGCAAAAAGTTGATCGATGTCTAAAAAGTTGCAAAAAAGTTTCAGAGAACAACCTGTCTGTGCCTAATGTGATATGTAGCGTGTAGCTCAGCAATTAGGTCTAGTTTCTTAATTAACGAATTAATTTGGTATGCAGCATGCTAGGGTGAGCTTGCCACCTCACGTCCAGAGATGTGGACTCTGCTATCTTCCAGCTTATCTAAGTATAAAAAAACCCAAACAGAAGCCGGATCTTCGACAAAACTATGGCTGTAGCTAGACCGCTTAATTGGGGTGGGGGGGTTGTATATTCATATATTCATGTTTAAATACCGTAGCCGTAGGAACAATAGCGAACTAAAGAAATCAGTCGGGCATAAGACGAATATATGAATGTACACCCCCCAATCAAGCTTCTAGCTACAGCTCCCGCTTGTGAGGCCATCAAAACCACACAAAATGAAATGAAATGTTAAGGTGGTCTTATACAAAAAAAGTCACGATTTATTCTGTTTTTAAAATTTCAAGGGGTGCAAACTTAACGAAAAGTTTTATTAATGAGGGTTTGACCCCGAGCTAAGAAAAGGGGCCATTGGCTTATTTTATTGTTTCATTATTCTATTGTATTGTTCTCTATAATTTATGAAAGTAAAACAGCTAGCTTGATAAAATTTTCATGGTTGACTTTACCTAGTTTGTTATCGTGTTTACAAAAATCTTCTTTTTTTCACCATTGGGTGTGTCTGGTCTGGGTAACTATAGTGATTGAAGATTCGTACAAGTCTTTTTTCACTCAGAACTTGGCTTGCAATATGGCATGAAAATATTTTTATATTTTTCAAAATAAAAGAAAAAAACCAAGATGGTGACCAGCTCAGTGGTTTCGGTTAAGATAGTTCAAAAGCTAGGCAAGATTTAAAAATTTTAGTTTCTTTCATATAAAAGAACAGGTAAAATTATGTGTACAAATCTTGCCTAGCTTTTGAAATATCTTTGTGACTTTCTAAATGAGCTGGTCACCATCTTGGATAGTTGGATTAACATTTTTTCTCATTTATACGTGTGGTTTTGATTTTAAGGATGCCACAAGCGGGATTAACCGTATGAAACTACTCTTAGATAGCTAAGTGGCATAGGTATTCTTTCAAATCAGGTAAACTAAACTTCATTGCCAATACCTTTTAAAAAACAAAGAAATTTAATTCAGTTTCAAATTATGAGCCCGATTCCCCCATTCCGCGATTCCACGATTCCCCTTCGGGAATGTACCCATTCGTCACCGGCCGTAGCCGAACGACAAAAGCTCGAATGCGCTGACGTCACGCATCTCGTGACATGCGCTCAGATTTCAGCTCTATTTGTGTTTTGGTTTTGGGGTGCAGAAGGAAGGCAGAACAATATCTGAGTCGTGTATAAGAACTTTGCTAGCAAACTTTAAACGAAAATGAACGGTGCAACAGCGGGCCTGCTTCCTCCACCCTCAAGACATATCCCAACAAGAAGAATTGAAGTGCATGACCCCTCGCATATGCCAAGTGCGTATTCGACGACTCCTGGAGGAACAATTTTTTCCACGACTCCCGGAGGTTAGTTTTATGAAGCTATATCTTGTATTTTCTACACAGAAATTTACGACAAAAGAGGTAGATGAATACCCAGGTCTTAATGTGTATGCTTTATGCTTTTAACGATACTTAAGATCCGAAATTCTGATACAAAATTTAGATAAAAGACGCCAGCGTAATAACCGTAATATGTTCGTCAACGTATTGAATATTTTCTTGGGTTTATATGTTCAATTAAAATCATTCAGTTGAATCCTGGTACATCGTGAATAAAACTGAATAGTCCAACGTTATCTTGGTCAACGTCAAAATTTTTTTTATACTTTCATAAGGGAGCTTGGTTTTAAGTATTTTCATGCCGGTACACGACTACTGTACATACGGCAATATACAGGTATCGACTGTCCTATATTTTGAAAAGTGATGGCCACCCTTTTCCGTTGGATATTTTATATATCTATTGATTTCGTGCTCGGAAATTGCACCAATTTGTTCATATTTCTTGGTATTACGTTTCCTTTCGACTACGCTGCTTCGAAATGAAGGGGGAGAATGTGCTTTCGAAGCAAATTTATGTACAAATTTGCGTTTGTTTTGATTCGCAAGCGGGGGATTTCGATGGGTTTTACCACGCGGTAGAACCGGAAGTGCGTAATACAAAATTAAAGTATTTTATGCCCAAATTTCATGATTAATAGCCAAGTTCATGTCCATTTTACATTGGCAATTCCAAAGCTTGAACATGATCTATGATGGTTTATGCATCTATGCTACAAGGCCTTCTGGTTTATGTGTCGCAAAGCTTCGATTTGTGCCATTATTTCTTTCCATGAGTTTTCCTAATACATAATCAATTGTTCTTGCTGTCTATTTACTTTAGGATTTATATTTACTTTAGCTTATAGAAGATAGAAGCTGAGCTAAACAATCAAAAATCTTTTTTATTAGCTTGCTGTTCACTTCTAAGTTTTTGAAAATGCTTGCATATATGATGAGCCCACATACAAATACTGGTGATTGTACAAATACTGATTTGAAATAATTTAAGAATTGATGACTGGCATAAAATTTATGGAACATCCATAAAATTCTAATTAAGAACTGACACATCCTCTTGAACGTATTGAGATGGTTTAACATACATCACAAGGGTGAAAGGAATCCCAGGGGTGGAAAATGGTTAAAGCAAAAAAGAGGATAGTATGGATTAGAGGATAGTAGAGGATTGCTATATATATCCAAGAAAAGTTTGAGTTCGAAGTCAGAAAGTTTTAACAGAAAATAATTTTTTTAGGAAGTGGCTGGCAAGGCATTGGGGAAGGGGGGAATGGCTGCCATAGGGTTAGGTGGTATCGGAAAATGTAATCACATTTGTCAGAAATAATTGGAGCTGCAAACAGTGAAACATATTTTGAAATAAATAAAGCAAATGTGCATGTTTTCAGAACTCAAAAAGTTGTTATTTATTATCTTGATTATGCATAAAATGTATTGCAAAATGCCTTGTTTTGTTTAAAAAGTTCATCCTTAGCCCACTTAACATGTGCATCCCTGAAAGGAAGAATCATTGGGAATGTCACTCATGCCAATATTGTCAAGATTTTGGAAAACACTGGTTAATTTTAGACAGCTACTTTCTTAACTGGCCATGCAGGTTCGGATTATGTGTGTGCAAATGTCAAGCTGTTTAGATCTTATGCGGTTGATTATTTTACATGTCTTTTTCTCACATGAATATTTGGAAACTTGGCTAATTCTGGGCCAACATGTAAGGAATGTTACACTTCTAAATTGACAGGAATTTCCAGCATTTTAACAATGTGGTCCATACTGCTATTCTTGTTAACTTTAAGATTCCTACCTCCCCTCTGATGTCTTACATGACATCAAAGTACCTAGATACAAGGCACACAGAAGAAGTAAATTATTTATTTCCAAAGGTTTCTGCCCATGTGATTGCCCAAAAATTACTTTGTTAAATTTCCTTAAATGCAGGTTTTTTAAAGAGTTATGCTTTACAATATTTGACAATATTTAAAATAGCTTTAAAACTTATTAATTGTAAAGCATGAGTTTTGTCCATCTTTTTTCTGCTTTAAACTTATTCCATCCTTGAAAGGGTAATGATAGTGAAAACCATAGATGAGAGCTTTCAGTATTCACAATCATTACTCAACATTATTAGACTATTATTACGTATAATGGCACTTCTTAGATCAAAACGAAACAAAAGGAAACAAGTTAAATGCAAAAATATATGCTGATTTGTTTTAATGCATCTTTATTTATTTTTTTAAAATGTTCTGTGTAAAGGCTTAAACTGTAACTAGTTACTGATACCTTTGCTTAGCTTAACTCTCAATGCTCAGTTAAGACAACTAGGACAGCTGATTAAATTAGCATAATTGCTAACTGTATGGTGGGAATCGAACCCACATCCTTTGGATTGCTAATCCAATGCTCTTCCAAGTGAGCTATTGGGTCAAGACAGTTCGAATAGGTGATATATCCGAACTCAAACTAGTCTTTACCTATATGCCTTAATTAAAGTGATAGTGCATATGGCCTAGGTAAATTAATTAATGTTTTTATGGCTGATGATTCAACTCAGAGAAAGATAACTCAGAGAAGCACCATCACAGCATTAATTCATGCACCTGAGATATTCGTACCGTCTTGACCTATTAGCTCAGTTGGAAAAACGTTGGACTAGCAATCTATCCCACTGTGGTCATGTTAATTTTTCAGCTTGTCCGGTCAGCAACTCCGAGTTTCAACCTCACAACATTAATTCATAGTCTGAGTAATATGCCTATTACTAGCTCTCAGCGGTTTCCTTTTTTTGCTAGGAACGCGAATCATTTATGAAAGAAAGTTCCTCATGGAGCTGCGCAATTCTCCACTGTCACAAACTCCGCCATCGAACTTGCCTGTGATCCCTGGTATAACATGTGACAGTAAGGTGAAGCTGCAGGAAACCATCCAGGAGGAGCAATCACCTGTATGTGAAGGAGCAAAGTCTACAACCAGTAAGTTGCCGCAATTAACATTACTATTTAGATAACACTTTATTAATTTAATGTCTTTTAATGTGTTGTTTTTGAAAACTTCGTAGTAAGTAAAAATTTCCATCTTACAGGAAATTTTCCACTGCATGGTGTAGCCGTGCATTTTGTTTTTTTGCCATTTCACGGTTGTTTTCACCTATGCTTTCACCAAATTCAATCACTCACAGTAAAAATCGTACCGTGCTCGCACCCATTTGATCACGAATCCTAATCATATGACCGATGGGATTATATCATTTTTTAAACACAAAGTCGCAGAATGTTTAGTAAATATAGCTATAACATCCCATCTTTGACCTCACGAGAATATTGTTACCATTGCACAATTGAAAACATTCGTTATTTGTATCATAAGTTCTAAAAGGCAGCTATGAAAGCTGTTTGGGCCTGTCCAGTAATAAAGATCTTGCGTCCGAGACAAAGTGTCTTTA